GGGTCAAAGAAGAGTTAAAAAGGTAGGTAGTGGCAGTAGGAGGAGGAAAGGTGACCTGCTATCCATATGCATGAGAAATGACACCAAGATAAAAAGCTAACTCTGACCTCTAGAAGCAGCTCCTGCCTGGCAGCCCCATGCCCTGCTCCACACACCAGGCACAAAGGACAGACACACTCACGATCCAATTTGTTACACTTGCACCTTCCAGGGAGAGAGGGAGGTGAAATAAAAAAGAAGAAAAAAAAATCCCATTATCTTTATCTGTCCTTCCCATCAGTTGCAGTGGAAAATGCAAACGGTGGAGACAGCTGCTGTGAACTCTTTATATTTCACTCAGAAGATAGTGTATCTTTTTATTGCATACAGGAATTACTTATTTGAAAAAAATATATCCTTTCAGTGTGACCTGAACGGCAAGACAGAGGGGCGGTGGTAGAGTTCCGGGGGCTATTGATAGAGCATTTGCATTAAACTGGAGGAATCTCTGGAGGTCATGGGCAGTAGCTGAGGGAGACAAGAGGCCACAGAGGAGGAAACTGCCTGTGCAGGGAATGGGAGTTCTCTCCACCTTCCTGCTGTGTGACCTGGCCCGGGCACTGTGCCTCTGAGCTGCACATTCTCCCTCTGAACAAGAAAGTAGAGTGGCACCAAAGATTGCCTTTAGGGAGTAAAAGGAGGACAAAAAAAGTGTCCCCTCTGCTCTGACAGGACAATGGCCTGCCTCTGCTGCTATGCTCAGAAAAGACAAACATCTCATCTTTGCAGATGGAGACATAGAATCTCCCTGGGGATAGCACCTTGGTTCAGTGTGGTGCCCCTGGGCACTGTGCTTCGAGAATCCCAGCCTTGCTCACCCTTTGCCCTGTGAACATCTTTCCTTCCCAGATCCCAACAAAGACAGGATCTGTGACCTTCACTGGGATCCTATGATGGTGATTTATGTGTCAACTTGGCTTGGCCAAATATTTGGTCAAGCATTATTCTTCATTATCCCCTGAAGGTGTTTGCCTATGAAATCAACATAAAAAAAAAAAATCAGTGGACTTAGAGTGAAGCAGACTACTCTCCATAATGTGGATGGGTCTCAAGACAGGTAACTTCTTACATAGAACGAAAGACTGATCACCTCTGAGGGAGAGGGGATTTTGCCAGCAGAGCCTTTAGCTCTTCCTTGGAGGTCCAGTCTGCCGGGTTACCCTGAAGATTTTGGACTTGATACCCTCCATAGTTGTATGGTCCCATTCTTAAGTACGCTAAAAGCAACGCATCCGTCCCTCTCATTCTTTCTGTCTGTATATGTATATACGAAAGTTCCTCAATTTTAGATGTATTTATGTTCTGATAAACCCATCATAAATTGATAATAAGATTTCTTACCTAACCTATGGATTGTTACAGTTTAGTCTAACCTATCACAAACATGCTCAGAATACACACTATAGCCAACAGTTGGGCAAAAACCATCTGACACAAAGCCTATTTTGTCCTAAAGCACTGTCTGTCTCATGTAATTTACTGGATACTGTACTGAAAGCAAGAAATAGTTGTATGGGTACTCTTTCCCACCATCATAAAGGTAAAACATAGTAAATCAACTCACAAAGCTGGGGACTGTGATGTGTACACATCCTCCCAGTTCTGTTTGCCTGCAGAGCCCTGAGTAACATCACGGTTCCTTCCTGCCTGGAAAAGGCTGGGTAGGGGTGGAGGCAGGGGCAGTTGATCTCTGACCCAGGAGCATAAATGGAACACTGGGAAGGAGGAGCTGCCCAGGCAGGGCCACCGTGAGGACGACAGGACCGGAGGGGTCACAACCAGGCCAGGCAGACAGGGAGCTCAGACTCAATTCCCTTGCAACAATGACAAGGGTAGCTTAGGGTGTCTGCTTCCTTCTGAGCTGACCTGGTGCAGGTCACTCTGCCTTTGTAGGGTCTGGACACCAGGAGAAGGGTGGCAGCCTCTGCCTAAGGCCCTCAGCTGTGGGAAGGGGAGATATGGTGGGAGATGCCATGTGTGGTGCTCGGCTGTCTTGCCTCTGCCACGTTTGGGCGGAGCTTCTCTGTGCCTGTGTGCCAGGTGGCCTGTGGTGTACATTAATTTGTAGTAATAATCACCTCTTCCTCTGTAAATTGCTTTCAGGCTTTCAAAGGCTTTCACCTGTGTGTTAGGAACAACTCACCTGGCCCCACTACCCATGGGAAGTCAGGAGCTGGAAGTGTGTGGAAAAGGCTGTATAGTCTCTGAGAGGGCTTGGTTTGCCTTATTATGCAATCTGGCTTAGGGAGAAGGAAGCCCAAGGTTTGAGGGGCAGCTCCCAAGTCTGGCTTTTGTAGAAAAAAAGCAGGAAACATGTGAGAAGAGCCCCCATAGAGGTTGAGCAGGGAGGTCTTTCCAGAGTGGAACCTCAAGCCCTTCCTCTGTGGGGTGGGACCCTGAGGCTCAAATTACTGAGGCCCCCTCCCCCTTGGACTCTCCTCCGCACTCTGGAAGTGTAGTGGAGAGGAAGCCTTGCTGTGTACTTGGGCACCTAAAGCACGAGTCCCTGGAGACCTGCCTCCTAGATGGCTGTGACTATGGCTGCAGGGTGAGGTGTATCTTCCCATCAAAGCCTTGCTTTTCTGGGTTTGCAGCTGCAGATCAATGAAAGGAGCAATTTTCTAAGGTAATAAAGAGCTCTTCCCTTCCCATTTTCAGAGTAGGGGGTTCCCGGGGTGGGGAGGACTGGTCCTGAGCAGTAGCCACCACACATGATGCGGTCACTCTTGAGGACACCCACAGGCATAAAAAAGCTGCTTCCTGAGCTTGCTTCCAGAAAGATGAACCCTCTTAGCTTTGTATTGAAGCAACGTTGAAAAATGCTGCCTCCAACCTTTCTTGAGGTCCATTAAGTGTTTAAGCTCCCACAGCTGTTCGCTGCTTTTGGGTGATAGAGATCTTCCCAAGTAACCACTGAACTCTGTTCTGTAAGAGGAGGTGCACAGAACCACTCACTACTGTCCCGTTGGAAGTCATCCCATTCTAAGTACAGAGTACCCCCTTCCACATGCCTGCGCACTCATGGGCTCCTTCCACGTTCCAGCACAACCTCTTCAAGTTCACTGTCTCATGTAGGCAGTCTTTTAACAGCTCTTCCTCCAATCCCTTGTCAGGAGAGTTTTCCCACCCACTTTGCAGGTAAGGATACTGAGGAGCTGAGTGAGCTGGACCCTGGGCCCCTCAAAAGAAGCAAATGGAAGGAATGTGGGTGCTGCATGGTTATCCTGCTCAACTCTTCCTGGACCACCCACTAGGGAGCACTCCATGACTCCTCCAGGGAAAGGAACACAGATCCTTGTTGGCCTGTAAGGTCTTCGTGGCAGAAGGAGTGAGTCAAGTGTGTGCTCATGCACACACGCGCACACGTGAGCACACACATGCACACATGTGAGCACACACACACACGTCCACCCAACTCCTGGACCAATGGACACATCCACCTATCTCACATTGCTTCCTCCATGTCCCAGAAGCAACGTGCTCAGAGACACCACTGAAGCGGAGGTGGGATATCTGCTCACTCGACCTCTTTCTGCACAGGGTAGAGGGCCACACACATCAGCCCGGAATGGAGCAAGAAGAGACAGGGGCTGGGCTGGGGATTTAACTCAGTGGTTCTGCTGCCTGCTTGCAAGTACAAGATCCTGAGCTTGATCCTTGGTACAACAAAGAAACAAACAAAAAACAAAAAACAGAACAAAAAAACCCAAAAGAAACAGGGGTAGATGTAGAAGGGAGACTGTAAGGGAGTTAGCTGAACTTCCTGATCCTAAGAATCTTCAGGCATTGGAATTCATGGGAAGTAGAACAGCCAATGGGGAAAAGGGTGAAAATTCCCTCTGGATTTTAGCAAAGAACACAAATCCCCATCTGTCCTGGATGGCTTAGCTCAAGCCAGCTTAGGGGCCAGGTGGATGGGTCTGGGACCTTTGGAGCCCCAATCCCACCCCAGCCCACCCCACCCCATGGATTGCCAGGACTCAATGCCCATCTCTCATACCCACTATCTACAAACAGGCATTCTCAGTGTTCTCACAGCTTCACTCTCAGAATTAGTAATAGCAGGCAGTACTTTGCCAAGTATGTACTATGGGCCAGAGACTGCAGAAAAAGGCTTTTACACACACCACCCCACTGGATTCCTACTACGAGGGAGGTGCTACTATGATCTCCACTTTATATGGCAAGAAAACTAAGGCACAGGAAGGTTAAATAACCAGGCCAAGGTCACACAGCCAGGATTTGATAACACCAGGTGCCCCACAATGCTGAAACTGCCTCTCTTCTACCCACCTCTTCAGAGCCTGGGGCTCCCTGGGAAGACTGCCCCTGGATAGCATCCTGCACATGCTCAGGCAAACCATAACTGGATCTAAGTGCAGCTGGCCGTAAGTGGCATGCCCTTGTTTATATAGGCTATGCAATCTATTCATGGAACATTCAAATACAATGTCATCATGCTCCCCAGCAGGCTGTCATGTCTCATTTTTCTCTATCCTTTCTCTCCATTCTCTATAGCTGACCCAGATCCTTCAAGCTGTAGATATTTAGCAAAAATTACAGGCACAGAACAGAGGAGAGGGGACGAGCCTGGGGAATAACAAAGGTAGTGGCAGGACCTCGACCACAGGGACCCAGATTGGCAAGTTTGGTCTTTAAGCCTCTTCATCCAGATATGACATATCCACTCCCAGCCCTTAGTCACCCAGAAGACCCCAGAGGTATCACCTCCAGGCCAGCGGGTCACTGGACTGCCAAGTGACATGTGGCCCCTTTTCTTCTCACTGCTTATGACCAGCTCTGGCCAATGCCAAGCAAGCCATGAAAGTAAACCCCATGGGATCCTGGGGGTCCTCCCCTTCTCCCTGCACCCAGTTCCACCTGCTACTGCCCTGAGAGGGCAGGAGGTGCTCAGCACCAGCTGTGGGGCCAGCTCCTGGGAGGGTAGGCAGCCTACTCACCAAGGTCCATGTCTGCAGCCTTGGGCCGGTGGGAGCAGGGCACATTCTTGAAGATGGCGTCCAGAATCTTCTCCTTGACCTGAGTGATGGTGTCACAGTTGAGAATCTTCACAGGGACCTCGGAGCTGTTGGCATTGTCTGGGCTGACACAGCTCAGGACCTGCAGGGTGAGGGGGAGAAGTCACATGGGTGAAGGCAGCAAGAAGAGCAGGAACAGCTCCTCCTCTCCTGGATGGGCTGGGGAGGGGTAGGGTGACTCCAGCCCACCTGTGTCCCTACCAGGCCCACTGCCTTCTCCTGCCAGACAAACAGGACTCTGCAGAAGTCTCAGTGTCATTGCAGGAGTACAAGCTGCACACATAACTCCCACCAGGACAAACATCTTGAAATCCTGATTTTTCAAAAGGAACAGGGTCTGAGCAAAGGGAGGTAATGAGGGGATCTGCAACAGACTGGCTTTGATGCTAGCACGCATACAGTGTCTCAAATATTCATGTTCACAAGCGGGGGACACCCTCACCCACCTCGGAATCACCACCACATCCCTGTGCATCACTGTGTCCTTCCTAACACCCTCCCAGACACTCAGTACTCATTACCAAAGGGAATCAGGCTCCTGTCTCATGAATTGTAATAGCTCTGATTTTGAGGGCGGGTTGGGATGGATAGGAGGTTGGAGTAACCAGATGAAGTTTTATATATTCTTCAAACATAAAGAGATGCCCTTTAAAAAACTGAAGGTTGATGCCAACTGAGATTCCTTTCTGGCCCTGAACCTTCAGCTGTGGTCAGAAGTTCGGGGAACAATGCCATTGCCTGGCTTGAGACCTGTTTCTCTTTTGAGAACAAAGCAGAAAAGTTAGTTAAAATCCCAGGTCACCATTTTTTGTTTTTGTTTTTTCTTTTAAGAACATCAAGGCTCCCCTGGTATTTTCACATTGGGCTTTTTCTGCACAGATGGCACTGCAGGGACTCCTAGATGCCAGTGACCAGAGCAGGTGCTGTGGGTTACAGGAGTGGGATACACAAGAGCCAGGGAGAAAAGCCTCCCCTTCTTAGGGACTACAGGGGGCCCTGCCATTCTGGGCCCCAGACTCTCCCTCTGGAGCCCAAGCCCTCTGCGCACCTCCCTCTCACTCCCTCCTATCACCATTTCCCATGGCCACATCTGGTTTGCAGAACAGACAGCAGCCCCCTTTCACCCCACATGGTGATAATTAGGACCTGGTCCTGGATGCCTGCCTTTCATTAGCAAGTAGACTGCTACAGTTCAAATGGGGACTTGCTTATTGCATTAAGAAAAACAATTACCCTAAATCTATAAAACCAAGTGCTCACTCTTGAAATCCCCTAAACTGAAAGCTAGTAGCAGGATCTCTGGTCTGTGCTTCCACGCATACTTTCTGCTTGCAACTGTCCTCCGCCCAAGAGCATTCCAGCACCTGTCCCGGCTCAGTAGCCACCCACAACCCTATCCTTCTTCCTACTGCTGTGGTGCCCTGCTGTCCTGTCCTCTGGGCCAATGGGGGACAGTTCAGCCTTCCCAGGGCAGCGACAAAATTCATCTGGCCTTTCTCCCTTGAGGGACCATGATCTGCTGCCTGGTTGATCTGGCACTTCTGCTGCCCCAGCAGTTTGGGTGGTCTCATGAGAACCATTCCATGGTGTGGTGCTTCAGGGCAAGAGGAGAAGCGGTGGTTCCAGAAGGACAGTGTCCCTGACCAAGATCCTCACCACAACTCACCCAGGAGTTCTCTTCCTACCCTGCTTTCTGAACAAATTGCCTGCTGCTTTCTCTGCTAAAGAAGTACTCCTCACTGGGCATAGAATAGACTCTGACTCAGGACACCAGGAGCAGAGATAAGATTCTGCAGTCTAGCAGCCTCCCAGATGGACTTCTAGCACTCTAGAAGGCTTCCTGGTGACTTATACAGTGCTCTAGCAGGCTCCTGGGTGGGCATCTTGGTCTACCAGGCTCCCGTGTCTGGGTGACTAGGGTCCTGCACACTTCCTTCAATAGGGCCTTCATCCCTGGTAGTCAAATTCTAGCATCGATCTAATCAATCCCTCAATGCCTAGGAGGTGCAGTCAATGTGTCCCTGAGCCTCTCAGAGCCCCTCTATGGTTATCCCTCCTGCCCAGGACAAGGTCACTATCAACTAGCCCCAGAGTTCTGGGCTCTTCCAGCCAGGGCAGAAGCCTACCACGGCCCACTTTTGCGTCTGATCTTCGCACCTGGAGTCTCTGCTACCCTGCCTGCCAGGATGCCCTCACCTTCTTCCCTCCTTCTGCACAATGAGTGGGGGCACCTCACTCAGGGCTGGAGGGGCCTAGTAAACCTCCCTGCACAATGTCATCTCCAGGCAAAACCACTGCAGCTTCTTCCCCTTCTCTTCCTGCCCATTGTTGGCACCTTAATGGGTGCACAGCTCTGACCCACTCCAGTTTCCCTTTAAGTGAGTCACCTGGAACCAGCTGGGTACACTAACAATCCTTTGACCTCTGGAATAAATGCTGCAATTTGGTGACAGAGCATTATCCCAAGTCCTTGTGTTGCATTCAGTATTGGTGAAGCTGAGAGAAGGCAAAGCAAGGGAGTGGAGCAGGATGGGACAGGAGACATTTAAAGGTAGCTTTCATCAAGAAATTCACTTGTGCTCTACTTTTGGAAAGGTTTTTCTTCCATTTTCCATTTCAATGGGAGTCTCTAATTCTCCTCCAGAGCAGACAGTAACTATGAGGAAGCTGGGGTGCCTCTGAATCCCAGCAGAGAGGCAGTTCCCGTGAATCTGCCTAGTTTCTGCTGAAATTCCCAGAACTCCCAGAAGATGAGTAGGGTAGGTGGGTCATGGTTACAACCCGCCAACCAGGAGAGAGCTTTGTTCAGAGGTGGGGATCTCTCTAGCGGGCCAGGGGTCTGGGATCACCCCCAGCTAGGGCTGTGTGTGTTGGGGGTCTGAGCATCCATCCTTCTAAACTCTGCCCCACACTGGTCCACTGGTAACTGCATTTAATTCCACCAATCTCCTGTCCCCTTTAATTTTGTGCTCTCTCTCTCTCTCTCTCTCTCTCTCTCTCTCTCTCTCTCTCTCTCTCTCTCTCTCTCTTGCTTCTATTCTTGAGTGCTACCTGCATGCCATCTCCAACACTCAGCTTTTATCTTATTTTTTTAATCCCTTGTACTTCCTCTTTCTTTAAAAAACGTGTAATGAGAGGTTAAAAAAATTCTTGCCCAAAAAAAAAAAAAAGCCTGAAAGTGAGCTCCCTGGGGCTGGAGAGGAAGTGGGAAGCCAGAGGTCAGAGGGACAGCCATGCCGGAAGGAGGCCGGCAGGGCTGAGAGCAAGCAGGAGTGAACATTTACACTGGGCTCCCAACTCCACCCTGGAAAGCTGGGATGATCTCCATTTTAATAGGTTCTATTATTATTCCCTTTTTTCAGATAAAGAAACCCAAACTCAAAGAGATTAGAGACTTGTCCCAACTCTTCCAGCTGGTCAGAGGTAGAGTGAGGGCTCAGATTCAGGACTGATTCCAACTCCAGGCTCTTAAATGCTGAGTTCTGCTACTTCCTAAGACAATTGCTGCTCTCAGGAGGAAGCCTGACCTTGACACAGGGACTCCCCCTGTTCACTGGGCAAATACCTTGCACCACTAGGCCATCCTAGTTACATGGCTTGGTCACAGCCCTGTGTGAATCTTGCTTCGTGGGTAAATGTGGGCTTCAGAACCACAAAGAACGATTTGTAGCTGCGTCCCCTTCCTGCCCACCCCTGCCTGCAGACAACTGTTCTGTGAAGTGCTGATTCTCTAGTCTGCAGAGCTGATAGGACGGGATGTTGCTTACTAGAGACAGTCAGCCTGCTGCCAAGGGGCTCCAACCTCCTGATTCAGTGCCTGGCTTGGAGCCACACCAGCCCACAAGTTGAAGTGCTGCTCAGACATGGCAGACCCACTAGGTGCCCTGGTGCTGGGGTCCAGAGGAAGCCTGAGGAGAGGGGACAGGGTAGCACCTGGCTTGGCCCCCACAGGGGACAGAGCTAGATGCAAGGCTCTTCAGCATTGCTTTTGTCCTTTCTGCAGGGCAGGGCTGCCCTGAGGCCAAAGCCTACTTGCCAGGGACTGGGAGGGAGCAGCAAGGGTGGCTCACCAGGGTCTTGTACTCGATCTGCTGCCGGATGAGCTTGTCCTCACTCAGGGAGTAGCGGGCCTCGCCCGTGATGGCGTCAATGGGCCCCTTCTCCATCTGCTGCTTGATGGCACAGAACAGGGAGAAGAGGGGCTCCCCAGCACACTCCTGTGAGAAGAAACATGCTGGCAGAGCTCCGGGACAGCAGATGTGCAGAGCTGGCCCTGTGTCCCTGTTTTCCCGCCTTCGTGGGTCCTTGCTCCTGATCCCCCCTGCTGCTTTCCTCAGGGTCCGTTATCTCTTCTGCAACTCCTCACTGCTCAGAGTGGTGACCCTGGCTCTGTGGATACAGGGCATTTCCCTACTCTCCCCTTTCCTGCTATTTGTCTGGGGTTCCCTCTCCCTCTCCTTCTCCCTGGCTCTCTGAGGCCCACGTAGGAGGCAGAGGTCAGTTCTCCATGGCATAAATGATTAGGAAACAAGTTATAATTAGAAGCCCAGTAGAGGCTCCTCTGGCCTCTGCCAAGCACAGCCTCAGTTTATCTGCCATGACAGGCAGCTTCCAGACCCACCTGGGTCCTCATCTGCTTCCATAAGTGTGAGACTGGGAGAGGGGAGAGGAACTCCGGGCACTAATTGGTGAATTGTTTTGAGCCTAAAATGGGAATGTAGCTGCCAGAGGCCATCTGTCACCCAGGAGGACATGTCCTGTGTCTTGTGTGGAACTGTGTCTCTGAAGCTAGGACTGATCATGGGCTGTGTCTTCTGAGGCAATTTATGACAAGGAGTGACTCCACTTCTTGGGGGTTAGAAACACCAGGCCCCCGTGAGTGAGAATGCAGGGGGCATGGAGTGAAACAGAGCAGGCCACGGGGATGAAGGCTCATGCCCAGGATGAGGGCACCACAGCAGGACTGGACATACAACCATATCCTATCCTACCTTGAGGAACTTGTAGAGGAGGAAAGTGAACCAGTTGGTCAACATCTTCTCCGCCACTGACTCCGTCCTGTCACAGTAACCAAGGGAAGAAGCAGAAGAAGACAGAGAAAGAAGCAGTTGGTCAGAGCAGTTGGGTATATAGAGCAAGGAAATACCTCTGCACCTTGCTGCTGTGCTCTTAGGCCAAATCCTGAGATCTAACACACAGGAAAATGTCACAGACCCTAGACCCCGGGGCAGAAAGAGGAATTTTCCTACAAAGCTGGAGGGTGACATGCCAGGCAGCAGGGCACCAGGTGGATTTATCCTGGGCCTGTCTTATACCGCATGGTCTATTCCATAGCACTTTGTGACAGTGTCAGTGCTCTCCACCGAAGCTATCCACATGAGGCTACTTGAGCACCTGAAATGGAGCTGGTGTGCCTGAAGAAATGATTTTTTTTCATTTTAATTACTTTGATGAATTTGGATTTAAGTAGTCACCCGTGGCTGGTAGCTCTACTGTTGGGCAGTACAACCTTGGAGAACTCTACAGGCTGATGTGTTGAGTTAGAAAAGAAACACACAAACAAACAAACATCTAGAGAGATAATATTTTGGCAGGGAGTAGAGAGGAAGATGACAGAAGCAGGAAGTCATGGTAGAAAGGCTCCCAGTCTAGATGTACCCTATAATCCAACCTAAAACTCCGAGCACTGGCAGCAACATGGAGCTGTAGACCTGGTTCATCCCAAGAGATGTCAAAAACTGTTCTATTTCAATGGCTTCCACATCCTTTGCAACTTCTCTTAGAAGGCTTCTCCCTTCTAGCATTTCATTTGCAATGTCAGGAAGCTCCTTCTTGAGTCTAATCTGCAACTTTTATGCTATGAGTTAAGTCTACCCCCCCACCATCTGAAGATGCAGCAAAATGCTTATAGTTTGGGTTGCATCCTTTTAGAGAAAGTAAATTACATTCAAACTTGTGCTAAGTGCCTGGCCTGCTCCAGAGACAAACTAGCCCATCCAGGTAGTTCAGGTAGAATGTAAAATTGCAACTGCCAGAAAATACTAATACTCAAAATCACAAGTAACTTAGGTAGTTGCTGGCACAAGTGAAGCTGGGAAGAAAAAGGAAGATAGAATATTGAAAGAAGGGGACAGCCAGGGGCAACAAGAAGAGATGGCAACATCTTCTTGCGGAAGGCAGAAGGAGCAGGAGTATCAGGAGGAGCAAGAAGAGCAAACAAGACTGGGCGATGCAGACCCCTGAGTGAGACTGTGAGACCACGCCGGGAAATTATCATTGGGAGCTCTGGCAGGCAGCGGCAACCCTAGAATTATGCCAGTGGGTGGCTGCGTGGTGAAAGTAAAACAAAAATCAAAATGATCTACCTTGCTGTTTCCAAAGCTGTATGATAGCTCCTCTGCACAGCAACCTTTCACAGCTGTGCAGGAAAATATGACCCCCCCCCATACCAGGAAACAGCCTACAGAAACTACTTCTGAAAGCCAAATCTATGCACTGGGCCAATTGGGGGCCTCAGACCTGGAGACCAAGGGCAACATGAGCGGGACAGGAAGATGAGGGATGAGCGTCCATAGATGATCTGGTCAGGAGGCTGGATGTGATAGCATCACATTGGAATTTCCTAACTTTAGATATGCCAAGGCTAGAGATATTAGAATTCAGAGCACAGAGGAGAAGTAGCACCTTCTCAGATGGGAGCAAGATGGGGAGAGAGTGCCTCTGTTTCCCGTAAGAGGAAGCCAAACGTTATGGTCAGGACTCATATTTGACCCTGCAGATTTCAACAGTAGAAGGCAAGTATCTGTGTGCAGCTGTGGACCTGGACCCACTCAGAGCCAGTATCAGGGGCCAAGAAATACTTGCTGGGCTGTGTGTAAGATGTCACCAAAAGGCTTGCATTCGGCGCTTCTCAAACTTTAAAATACAGGTACATCCAAGTCACTGGGGTCCTCGTAACATGCACATTCTGATTCAGTGGGGCCTGAAGAGATCTGAGCCTCCCGATTGCTGCTCCTGTTACTAGTACACAGGCAGCAGGAGGCTATGGGGTCTTTCTCTTTCCACTTCCGATTTTGAGGAAGCCAGGGATGGTCTAAATGACCACTGAAGATACAATGATTATGTAACTGTATTGTATACCTAACATGTACCAATAAACTTAATAAACATTTTTCAAAAAGATTTTGTGAGAAAAGAATTCCAACAGAAAGGATCAAAATTCAATGAGTGGAGTAGAGTGTAGGAAGAAAATAACAGGGTGAACCAAGGACCATGGCTCAGTGATAGGCATTCACATGGTGGCCCGCACCTTCAGGAAGGAGTGTGATGCAGCCTGGCCTCACAGGTCAGTGTCTTGCCCTTAGGAGCAGACCTGCTCTCCGCGCAGCCTGCCTGGTCTTCCTGGAAAGTCGCATGGGCCAGGCTGCAGATGAACAGGAGCCAGAAGCGCTCTGACCCCTGCCAGCAGCCCGGGGCCTCACTCTCACCTCCTAAGCAGCAGCTTGGGGTGGTTCTTGCTCTCCAGGTTCTTGTCAATGAGGTCGGCCAGCAGCTGCTTCAGCACATCGGTCGCATACTCCAGCTTGCTCTGCAGCACCGTCATGATGAGCGAGGCCACATTGCCCCGGTCGCGCATGGAGAAGCTGCGCTGGGACTCAAGCGTGCGGATGAAGGACAGCAGGAACACCTTGTTATTGATGAGCTGAGCGAAGAGTTTCAGGCCTTTCTCCACTCGCTCCTGCCGGTACCCTGGAACCTGAGGGACAGATTAGGGGTGTTGCTGCCAGCTGCTGGGTGTCCCGTGATCTCCTGCAGGATGGCCGTGCCCACACTGTTGACGCTCCCACTCCACCTCCACCCACTGCCACAGCCCTGGACACCTGGGCAGTGCTGTCAAGTCCCTTTCAGCAGCTGATTCTGTGCCCAGCATCTGCATGGCCTCCGTCATAGCCCATAAAATGGGTCATTACCTTCAGCACAGAGAAGAACCAACTGAGGCTCTGAGAGAAAGAGCCAAAGTCTGTAAGCGGCGATACTGGGATTTGAATCCACCTCTGCCAGACTTCAGAGCCAGAGCTCCAGCCTTATGGTGACACAGGGCTGATGAGGGGCCTGTGCATAGCAGACTAACTCATTGTCCACCCCTCCGTGACCCTCAGGATCCTGTGGACAGGCAGGCAGTTTGGGTCAGGATTTTGGGGTTCCAGATAGTCTTGGCCACACTATGCTGTATAACCTTGGGTAAGTCCCTTTCCTTCTCTGGGTACACAAATTTATCCACTTGAGAAAAGAGGAAGATGGAGCCCAACAGTCTCTGAAGAACCTCTCTGACTCTGATCATCTGATGTTTTCAGGGTGCCTCTTTCAGGGAGTGCACCATGCCCCGGCACCTCCTGGGACTGTTGTTAGGACAGAGAGACTATGTGAAAAGCCTGCACGTACAGCCTGCCACATGCACAAGTCACTGATGGCAGCTGTTTTATCCTGCTCTACAGGCCAGAGAAAGCCTGTTTACTGGAAGTCACCAAAGTTGCCAGAAATATTCATGCCACTCATGACAGAACCCTGCCATGTTCCAGGCTCAGGGCAAGGAGCAGGCAGGAGGCAGGTGTAGGGCAGCCCCAGGCTCTGCCCCTGGAGACTACTGCCCAGTTACAAGACCCTCCTGGAGTGGGTACTGTTGGCTGCCCTGACTCTGCAGAGATGAGCTCTCCCTGAGCATCCTGGTTGCCTGGCATCAGCAGTTCCCATGGGTCTGGAAGCTGGTAGAAAACATGCAGGCTATCCAATCAGGGCTGTTTTCATATTTTTCTTGCTGTAGGGCTTATACTTGGAAGGCTAGTTCCCAGGAGACAGATGGGGATTCACTCAGAGGCAAGAGGGCACAGCAAGTGCCTGCCAGGGACACCCCTCGCACACCTACCCCAACTTGTGAGTCCCTCATTTCCCAAGGTGGAACTCACCTCTGCTTGCCGACTGCCTGGCTCCTTCAGTTCCTGCACCACTGGGAGCTGGTAAGGGGTTAGCAAGGGAAATGTGGCACCCTTACCTCACGATAGCCTAGCCTACATCTGGGTTTGCCACCTGTATGATACCCATTGACCTTCCTTCCTCCCATGCATGTGGTCACCCTTCACACACTTAGGTACACTGGACTTCCTCTACTTTTTAACACACTCAGAACAGTGTCACTCTGACTTATCAGAATAGTAGTACATACTGCTTTTACTGGGCACTTACAATGTGTAGCACACAGTGCTGGGCACATTATGTATGTTATTCCAATGAGGTCTTCTAATGACCTTGCAAAGTAACAGTCTCCCAGAGAGACTTGTCCCAAGACCACCCAGCGGGTGATGGCCAGTTCTAGATTTCCGTTCTCAAGCTTGTCTAGCCCCTGAACATCTGGTCATACTCTCCACCTGTCACCATGTCCAGTGCTATCTCTAGGCTTAGCAGCTAGCTAAACATCAACTCTGGCTTCTTTGTGCAGCCTTCCTTCCCTTCAAGGGTTCCCAACAGGTTGGCTGTCAAAGGGAGAGCAGCCACATCTAGGTTTGGCACCATGGATGCTTTCAAGAGAGGACACAAGGCCAACTAGATGGTTCCAGTGGCATGAGGACACACTCTCGACTTCCTGACTCAGCTGCACTTTCTCTGTGCAAGACACATTTGCCTGGTGGGCAGCAAGGGCCTGTGTGACCCTGTGCAGGAGGGTTTTAGCACAGCTACCAGTGCATCCAAGTCAGACACCACAAAGAAAAACTCCATCACCTCTGGGGTCTACTGTTTCATCTTTAAAATGAGAATATGAGTACTGGTGTCATAATGTTTTAAGAACGTTAAATAAGATAATGTATGTAAAGTGCTTGGCATATACTGCACATGCTTAAACAGCACTGGTTTATTACCTGCCTCTCTGACTTCACTGACTACTCTTCACAGATCCCTTGTGCCTGGGAGTTTCCACGTTATCCAATGCACAGAGCCTTTTGTATTGGGTTGCACAAGGCAGAAATTTTCTCCCCCCCATCATGGAAGGAGGAGATAGAAGTGAAGTATCTTGGTCGTGAGTGTCAGAAGCAATTCCCCTTTGCAGCCTGCCCTCCCCCTAGGCCAATGCCACACTAACATAAGACTTTCTTTCTTTACCAGATGATTCTCTGCTTTAGCCGAAGTCTATGACTATAAAACTGCATAGTACATTTTAATTGTAATTCAACAGGTTAGAGTTAAGGAGCTGGTAATGGACTGAAATTGGGAGTATTTGATTGGCAGCTTCTTGTTTGGAAAGGATTGGTGTGTGACCAGGGCCTGGAAAGCCACATGCTCAAATGCTTGGACTTACCCAGTGGACCACAAAAGATGGGGCTTGGCAATTTACTCTCTCTGTCAGCCTGAAATAAGAGGATGCCTCCCTTTTCACATTTCCAAGGGACAGGAGTTCCAGGGGCTGAACGGGCTGGGCAGCACTGCTTTAGAGTAATCAATGGCTTCCCTTGGGGAGTTTCCACGCTCAGGACACCAAGAGGGAAAAATACTTCCTGGGTCAAAAACAGGTTGCAAACAAATTCTGATGTGATGTCCACATAGGATCCCTGGATGTCACATAGCCCCTAGCTATTGTGGGACAATAAATGTTGATTTCTGTCCAAGGCAATTTACTAGTGAGTTTGTTGGAAATGAAAACACTGTTCTGTGTTTATACTTAAGAGAAACGGAAGCGGAGGCTGGAACAGATATTTACACACCCATGTTCACAAGAGCCCCAAACTGAAGCACATCAAACATCCATTGACAAATGATTGGATAAACAAAATTCAGTCTGTCCTCACAACTCAATCTTTTCAGCCTTAAAAAGGAAGGAAATTCTGACTGGCACCACAACAGGGATAGACCTTGAAAAATATTATGCTAAATATAATAAGCCAGACAAAAAAGGACAAGTTCTGTGTGCTTCTCCCTATATGAAGTCCCTACAGAAGTGAAATTCACAGAGGCAGAAACTAGGATGGTGGAGGAAGAGAAGGAGAATTTGCTGTTTAATGGGTACAGTTTGTTAGTATGAAAAGGTGCAGGGTGTAGATGGTGTGTAATGGCAGCACAACAAAATGAACTATGCCCTCAAAAATGGTTGACACAGTAAACTTTTATGTTATGTATATTTTACCACCATTTATTTAAAAAGCCATGTGGCTGGCCTTACTGAGAGCCTGTTCACAACAATCAGCCAACTCTGGGCTCCATGTTCAGGGAAACTAGTCAAGTTGACTGCTGATATGCTCCTGAGCAGAAGGCTGGAATCAGAGTTTCCCTTATTAACAAAGGAAAAGAAAATGGGCTGTTTCCAAGTTTTAGCTATTAAAAACTGTGCCGCTATAAACATAGGTGCGTATATATCTCTGTGATATGATTCTTTGAATTCTTTTGAAAAGTTACCCAGCAGAGGGATGGCTGGGTCAAATAGAACCTCCAGTCCCAGCTCTTTGAGGTATCTCCATATTGATTTCCATAGTGGTTGCGCCAGTTTGTACTCCCACCAACAATGGAGAAGGGTTCCTTTCTCCCCACTTAGTGGAATTCTTAATTTATTCTCTATCCTATCCCTATAGAGATATTGTATCTCTATCCTATGGGCGTAATTCACCTTCTTAGCACTGCTATTTCCATCCTGACGCAGATAGACACACAGACATTAATTAAAAACCTCCACCCAGCTCTTTGAGGTATCTCCATATTGATTTCCATAGTGGTTGCGCCAGTTTGTACTCCCACCAACAATGGAGAAGGGTTCCTTTCTCCCCACTTAGTGGAATTCTTAATTTATTCTCTATCCTATCCCTATAGAGATATTGTATCTCTATCCTATGGGCGTAATTCACCTTCTTAGCACTGCTATTTCCATCCTGACGCAGATAGACACACAGACATTAATTTATTCAATCACTCAACATTTCCTGCACAACTACTCTGTGCTAGACACTTTACAGGAAGCTAGAAGTACAAAGATAAATAAAGATGGGGCAGTCTCTATGCATCCAATCATACCACACACACACACACACACACACACACACACACACACAGAATGTTGTCTATCTTTTCATCACTCCCAAGCATCACTTTAAACAGAAACCCTCAGACTCTTCAGGGCCCTAAGAAACCTGGTATTTTGATGCTCATAAAGATGAGGCCAGAGGAAAGATGGAAGGCAGAAGGAAATGGGTCAGAAAGGTAAAGAAGCACAGCCCCAGGGCTGGACCAAGGCAATGGGTGGGATGAAGCTAGACCTTGCATTTTTATGTATCTATATGATACATGTCTAAACATGTGCATGCACATAGACAGACAGAAAATGTACGCCACTAGTGAGGACATAGAGACCATTGCCCACAGCCCATTAAAGTGGTCATCGTAGCTGTCAGCTGTTAGCTGAGCTAAAGGGAGCCTCTCCAGCTCATGCTTCACTCTAAAAACATACATGCTCCCTTCAACAAGCAGGCATGGAGACAAGCGTGTGCCACCACGTGCTGTACACATCCAGGTGTGCTGCCGAGGTGCTCAGCCTGCTGCGTCCTTCAGGAAGCACACTTGGGCACTCCCTTGGGCATCAGTACTTGCAACATGATGTGACTCCTGAGCAATGAGTCTGTTTTTATTTTATGGACCAAGTCCATCTTGAAGTTAATTTTCTTTTCCTCATGACTTTGGCTATAGGTTTCCCATCCATTATAGTAAGGATCCAGAACTATGAGGCAGGCCACTGCCACAGCACCTGCGGGTCTGGTGCCCTGGGTGCCCTGGCTTGGGTCTGTCGGCAAGCATGCTGGAGTTCACTGCCTGGACTGAACTCTTTGCTCTGTTCCCAGGACACTGTATAGCCTCAGATGACCACTGAACTTCTTTGCCCACTTAGTTTTGTCACCTGTAAGATGGGCTCAGCAGCTCGGAGAGTCCCTGAATGAATTCATGAACAGTGCTTAAAGCCATGTGGGAATTTTAGTAACAGTCAACTAATAATGATCATTCCTTAGGATTATCATTTGCTCTGGTTTCCTCATTTATATTTTTCACTTCTCTCTGGTATTTATCTTTATAAGCCATTCTAAAGCCCTTTCAGAACAAGGCATAATATGAATTATATGCATAAGCCAGATACTATGCTAAACAGTAAGTGGGCTAAAATGCAGAGATGAGGTCCCTGCTGCTAGAAAGACTGTTAGGTTTTATCATTCACATCTCCAACTCTTTTCCCTATACATTGCTTATCTTTCCCAACTCGGCACCAAGTGGTAAAATCCCTTATATATTTATTAAGCACCAACTAAATGGTAAGATCCTTCATAATATAGTTTCTTAAATAAGGGTCTATGAACTTTCATTTCTTGCTTCTGTGTACAGGTAAAATTTTACTAGAGAGAGTCCTTAAAGCCCATTTAACTCTCAAAGGACTCCATGACCCCAAAAGATCTAAAGTGCTATTACTCGCATGTCTGCTCTGATGTTCTCTGGCTAGGAACTGTCTTCAGAAGAACTGGTATGTACCCACAAGCTGGGGGATGTCAGCCATGGTGCGTCCCCTCCCTGGCCTCAGCTCTCTCACCTCCAATCAAGACGCCAGACTTGCAGACTGCCAACGCGCCACCTGCTCTAACACCAGCAGGGGCCATTACCTCTCACCTCGAGGTCCCGGAGCACAGGGTGGTCTTCAATTCCCGGGAACAGCACCCGCATGGTGTAGGTCCTGTAGTCCAGGAAGGGAATCCCGGCTCCATCCAGGTCACTGGTGAGCTCATGGATGTCTGTCTGCAGCTCTGCAAAAGCTAACACAAAGAGAATCCGGTGAGACTGCTAGGGAGGAGAGAGAGATGTGCAAGAACGATTGGGATGAAAGGTGTCAGCTTGGCAAAAATGTATAGTGAAAGAAAGCTGTCTGGGGCTGTCTGCCTTTCCAATGCCTGGTGAGGCTGTCCACAGTCCTGTACTGTGGCCAAGGCCTACCTTAAGAAGAAAAGCTTTGGTTTGTAACCAGTGCTGGGAAGGGGACATGGAAGAACAGGAGGAGAGAAGAGAGAGGCTGCAGAGGTGCATCTATACTTGCTGTGTTTGTACTGGGTTTCCTTATGACAGCAAAGAAAAATTTCTTCTGATAAAGGAAGAAAGTCTGAGGGCCCAGTTCTGGAATGTGCAGTTCACTGGGACCATCAAACCTCCAAATGGGACTGAGACTAATGTCTTCCTTCTACACAGATACCCAGGATGTAGCTTGGTCTTTCCTGTTCAAGGTGATGCAACCTGGTGACAAATTATGATCTGCATATGGGCACTGCTGTTTGGCAGCTCAGGCCTCCAGCTTTATGTGTGGCAGGCACAAAACTTTGAATGTTGGAAAGAGTGACAAGATCCCAGCTGGCCCCTGGGAAAACCTGGTATACAGTGTAGCCTAAGGTTGTTACACAGAACCAAAGTTGTCATTGCACTCTGTCCTGGGTACATCCTCCCCTGGGGCCACCCTCTGCCACTCTAGGTATTCAAGATGAAGCAGGAGGCTGGGCCCTGCTCTGCCTTTCTCCTTGGTGTATGCACACACATGAGCACATATGCATGCACACACACATACACACCCAACTCGGGTGGATGAACACATGTTGGCAAAGAACAGCCAGGAGACATGGACTGACCGATGTTCCTTTCTATTTGTACAGACACAAGAAAAGGGAAAAATACTTTGTAGGCTTAGAAGGGTTTTATAAACCCAGGATGGGTCTAGGGTCCTCAAAGAACAAGCTCAGCACCCAGACTGTGTCAACACAAGAACATGACTTAGGTGCCCCAGGAACTGTGGAAGGGCCCCACCTGACCTGTCCCAGACTTTGGAGCAACTCTGACCTACAGTGCTGATGTCAAGGCCAAGGGTCTCCATGGATCTTGGTACCAGGCAAGCTCTAGGACTTGCTAGGGGAAAAGTCTTGTATTCCTGCTACTCTCCTCTCATACTGCCCACTTCTGCTCTGTCCACATGAGCTCTTGCCATGCAGAGTGTCTTGTAGGGAGAGAGCCCTAATATAATGAAGCAGAATTTACTCCAGCGTGTGGGAGTTGTTTGCCTGCACATGTGTATGTAAAAGGGAGTCAGTGATTGTTTTTGGCATGTGCTGTCACCAAAAGCTCGATGGACACTCACATATGTCCTGGGTGAGGCACACACACACCTGTGTGCATGTATACGCCTATATGGGAAAGTGCACAGGTGGGAGTGATAGTATGAACATGTGAGTGTGTGTGTGTGTACACCAGTGTAACAATGTGAGTGTGTGTATGAAGGTATGCGAGTGGGTCTGGCTGAGTGTGAGCATGTCAGTGTGTGTGTGTAAGCCAGCGTGTCAGTGTGAGAATGTGTGGGTATGAGAGAGTGTGAGTGTGTGAGTAGATGAATGAGTGAAAAATGGGACTGTGTGTCTGCACACGTGTGTGTTTCCATATCCAAGGCTCAGGCCCCGGCAGGGTGAGAGCAGGGCATCCTCTGCGTTCAGGTATGGGTGACATCCTGGCTCACTGCGAAGTCTCCAGGAAAATCCTGCCCAGCCCCATGCCATGCAAATGCTAAACAGCAGCCCCAGGCCCTGGAAAGTGCAGTCCTGCATGTCCTTTGCTGCAAGGCTTCTTCCAGCCCTGTGCATAGCTGTCTCCAAGCCTTGAACCAGGCTCCCTGCTGGCCTCCACCAACTCTTGGACTGGGATCCTGCCTGCCTGCTCAGCCTCCCTCCCAGGGGACCTTCTGGCAGATCTGGGCTGTGCTCTGCCCTCGCCTGCCCCCTCCCGGTAGGGGGCAGTTGGTTGGGAGGAGAAGGGAGGAAGCCAGCTTTTGATCCTTCTGCAGCTTTCCTTTAAGTCACCAAGTGCCTCCAACATTCAAAGCTTTGTGCCTGCCACACATAAAAGAGATTCTAATCACTACACCTAATTAGATGGAAGAGTACATTGCAAAGAAAAAAATTAAGTGGCATAAATATAATAAAAGCAGTAATTAACATTCTCTCAAGGCGGATGCCATGCTGACAGCTGAAGGATGAAGAGAGGGGATGGAATGGATCCACTTCCCCATCAAAACTGGCCTCAGCTTCCCTGGTGGGGACTGGTTCAATTTGGGAGCCCAGGTATTGGGCTGGATTAACTCGGTGTACACAGACTGTGCAGAACCTGCTCAGATCCTCCCATCTAGGGTGACGATTCATGCAATGATGTCCTGGGGTTACGTGAGTCTGGCTCCTAAGTTTCCTTCTCAGGTTTAGTATAGCTGATCTCACTTCATGGTGGTGTTTGTAAGGTTTTTAAAATACCAGCTGTGAAACACTCTTCCTTTGAAATCACAGATCAGCACTCCAGTCTTCCCTTGCTGCCGAAGGGAAGAAGTGTCATGATGAGATATTCCCAGGACTCCCCTGGAGGACAGAGTGAAACCCACTCAGCTGGATTCTGGGTCTGGAGATTGCTGGGGAGTGGTGACCCTAGCCTCGGACCTAATTCCTTCCCCGCTAGAGTGGACAGGTAGGGTTTTGATCTGCAACGTGGGCTCAGACACTGGTGTTAAGTGTCTGAATATGACACCCAACCTCCGGCACTGCCCGGCCTGAGGCTTGTGAGAGAGAAATACATGCACACACATGCATTTGCACACACATGTGCACACGCGTATACTGTATGTGTGTATACAGAGATACAAACCCTGGCACCGTCCATGGCTGCCCCGCCTGTGGCTAGGAATGAGAGGCACAGGCACATGCGTACACACACACACATATATGCATGCATACGAACACATACACCTAACCTCCAGCACTACCCAGGGTCGCCCGGACTGCCTGCTTTTGTATAGGAGCCACATGAGCGTACACACAGTCCCCGGTAGGGACACGGCGCTGGTCACGAGTACCTTCCTTGCACTCCAGCGCCACGCGGGACTCCAGGTTGTCCATTTGCATCTGCAGTCGCTTCAGCGTGAGGTCGCTCTCTCGGGACTTGCGTTTGTAGGCGATGAGCACAGCCACGATGAAGATGATGAGGAGGCCGCCAGCCACAGCGATGCTGACGATGGCAGGCAGGCTGAGAGGGCTGTCCGGGGCGATGTACACCATCCCCGGGGAATACTCCATGCCACCGACACGGGCCTGGGGACACGCAGGGTACCGGGGGGGAGGGGGACAGAGGCAGGAGGAGGAAAAGCATGAGGGCTGGGCGGAGCCTCATCCGGTTGTGAAAGTAGGGCCCTTGGGGCTGGGGCAGGAGGCAGATGGCAGAGGTAACCCCTCGAGGAGAGAATCTGCACATCCTCTTGTTTGAGAACCCTCATGTGGTCTTCATCAGGAGACAGCCCACAGCTGGTGCCTAAGTAGCCACGGAGCATCCATGACAGGTTTCCCCAAGACTCATCCCCTTGTCACCATGGACACCAAGGCACAGAACAGGACCCTGTGGGTCGCGCTAGGCCAGAGATGGCTCTCTCCTCAAAGGCTCTCTTGCAGTGCCCTTAGCACATCAGGAGATACAGAAAAAAGGACAGTGTGGAAGGGAGAAGCTGGGATATGGCATGGGTGCAGGGTAGCTGGTAACGGACTGGGATCTCTTGTGGAGAGCCCCAGTGGCCCAGATGAGGCTGCTCTACTCTACCCAGTACCGCTCCCACCTTCTCCCCTCAGGAAGGGGTCCTGCCAGCCTCACCATCACTTTGTGCCTGCCGATGAGGTTGGGGGACTCGCAGAGCAGCTGCACATCTGACACCGTCACAGTGCATGGCTTCTCCCCAACCAGCACTGTGTAGTTGAGCTTCACGTTGCCTCCAGCCACGGGTGGGATCAGGTTTTTGCCCTGGACACACAGGAAAGCCCCCGTTTCCACTTAGAGTCATAGCCTCAGTCACTGGTGGCTGCCATGTCTTCATACCAGATGTCCCATCCAGCTGGTGAGCTGGTGGAGGGGCCACCTACAGTAATATGTGCAAGGCACATGTATGGCATGGATGTGGTTTGTCCACCCACGGTTCACATAATAGAACCTTGGTCCTTGGTTCAGTGACAGTAAGAGGTGATGGGACCTTTAAGAAGTGGGGCCTAGTGGGAGCTCATTACTGTCCCCTCCCTGCCTTCTGGCTTCCTATCTCACCATGTGAACTTTCCTATTGCCACACTAATAGTCAATACCATGCTATTTGGACTTTCAGCCTCTAAAACTGAGAGCACATTAAACCTTTCTTTGTAAATACCCAGTCTCAAGTATTTTGTGATAGTAACAGAAAACAGACTAATATAACATGTATATGACCATCCTCCCTTCTTCCCAGTGGGAAATCAATAATTGAAGTACTTTTTATCAGGTTATCCCTAATGCAGCCTAGAATTCTTCTCAATACAGTACAGAGTTGTGGTCAGTTACTACTCCTTGATTCACATTATCATACAAGATAAAGTTAACTTGCAATCCATGCTCCAAAGAAAAATTAAGGTGTGTTTTGCAAAGGAGTGCATAGGAAGACACAGTGTGCAGCTCTGACACCCAGTTCCTGGACTCTGAAGACCAAAGCCTGGGCTTCCAATAGCCTAAGTGGATTAGCCTTTCCTGGATAGATGAGGCCTGCTGAGTGCTAAGCTCTACACACAACCTCTGCAAGGGTCCCCAGTCATGAAATCTGGCAGGAGCTTGTGTCTTCTGTGCTCTTCCCGTGACTGGACACCCTCCCACTCCATGCAGTGGCCTGCTTCCTTCCTGCTCTCGTTCTACCTTCAGGATGATGGGGGTACCGGGCTTCAGTTCCAGGATTCCTGAAGGTCCAAAGGCTTCAAATACAGGGTTGGGATAGTAGGTGAAATTGGTTTTGTTGAGGATGAGCAGGGATTGGACATTGTCCAGGATGAAGCCAAACTCCTCAGGCCTCTCAGTGAGGTCTGACTGGTGGTCAGGATCCAGGGCCAGAGCTGGAGCCTGGCAGGTCATCTCAGTAGCATTCAGAACCTCACAGATCTGTGGGAAGAGAAAGAGAGGGAGAAGATACAGTGTATCTGTGTGCCCCACATGGGCTGGGTCTCCCTGGAAATAGTCAGTGCATCGGGGGTTAACAGGATGGTGGATGAGGGAGCTGCATTTGGGCCCTCAGAGCTTATACTCTGTGGCTGTCACTTCACTCTGGCTTGGCTCACAGTGGATTTGGCAGTGGCTAGGGTATTTTCTAAGCTAGGGAACATGAGGGGGTTGGAGGGATGGAAGCGTAGGGATGTGAAATACCAGAAACTCTGATAGGTCCTTTAGGCCTGTACACACAAGGTCTGAAAATGCTCACTATCCCGGCCCTGAAGGGGGTCACAGATTGTGTCTCTCTGTGGGCAGGGGTGCCTGGGATGCCCCACCCTTTGAGAAGGAACATGTTGGACTCACATTGATGTGCTCCTTCCCTCCATGCTTGGCACGGATCTGGGGGTTCTGAATGAGGTCCAGGTGAGTGCCCCAGACAGCGATGGGTGTGTTTCCACTGCCAGGGACGAAAGAATGGGGCATTTGAATCACAGGAAAGGAACAATGGCACCCAATGGTGACAATGATGATAATCATGATATGCTCTGACAATAAGAACAATGATAAGCAGACAGCACAATAATGTTCTTGGGGACAAGGACGACAAGCCAATTGCATGGTAATAAGAATGAGCATCTCAGCAGCCAAGGGGAAAACAATGATGTCCAGATATCCGTGGCATCCTTCGTTGGGCTGACTTGGAGTAAAGTCAGTGTGAGGAGACCCAGGTGACAGCACAGCCCCTTGGGTCTCAAAGGCCCCTGAGGTGAGCCTGACTAAGCCAGCTGCCTCAACTCCTGGAGTCTTTCCCAGTCCTTGCCACTCTTGAGACATTTTTCACCTTTGCTCTTGGTTTAATGGAATCCTCGCCCCAGATGTCCCATCAGACCCTGCAGGGTCCAAGCACAGCTTCCTCTGGCTCCCTGGCAATCAAACTAAAACCTTTGCCCTTGGAGGCTTCAACAGGGCCTTCACTATCTTGGAAAGACAGTGGTCCAAGCACTAAGAAAACTTCTTCGGGAGGTAAGCCTGAAAGGCTTGACTCAGGTCTCCCGCACCTTGTGGTGCAGAGGACACTGATGGAAGGGCTTCGGGAGATTCATCTTGGTGCAGTCCTTCAAAGGGTGTCATATCCCCAGGGAGGCTGAAAAGCTGGCAGGAAGGGGCAGACAGCACTCTGCTGGGCTGAATCTTCCTAGGGGGCTATGCAAAGGAGAACAAGGACTGACCTGTTTTCTGGGCAAAGAAGCATCTTTGAAAAGATTTCTGCTATGTAAAAAGGGCTTAGCAAGTTAACTAGCTCTAAGCATGGTGGGTGAAACTCCTTAACATCCATGTTGATTTCTACCATCTATCCATTTGTCCAACTTTACGGTCCCAGTCCCTTCCTTCCTTTGCCCTTTGAATACACTAAGGTTCCTGTGACACCCAGAGAGGATCTTTTGTCCTAACAGTTGGCAAGATGAGCATGGGATGTCCAGCCATCTCCCCAGTCTTCTCAGTCATCAGTTCCATACGCAGGTGCAACACCCCTATCCTGTCCCCAAGCCAACAGGGCTGCTTGCTGAGCAGTACAGAGCCATGCCTTGTGCAGAGTTGTGCAGAGTCTGCCATCCTCAGACTTCCTTAACCCAACCAGGAGCACCACAGCTGGGTGGCAGTCCTAGAAAAGTCTCCAGCCTCTTTCTTAATGTAAGCATGACAAGAGGATGGCAGATAAATACCAAGAAGGATGAGATATCTCTTCCTGCCATGATGACATTAACCTAGGCTGTGAATTTCTCAGAGTTCTGGCACTTAGTGAGTAAAGCAGGAGGGGTTACATTAGTTCCCAGGATTCACCAGCCGTAGGGCTTTCCACAGGCTGTTCCTTCTCTATGCCTTATCCTCTTCATCTGCATCAAGACTGTATCTAAAGCTCCTACGGGTGGCCTGACCCAGTGACTGCTGAGGACAGCCACATATCAACCCAGCAGCCACATTGCCTTTTCTCTGGGCTAAGTCAGGGGGTGGCACACACTTGCTGAAAAGGGCTACATGGTAAATATTTTAGGCTTTACAGGCCTAATGGTCCCTGTCACAATTACTCAACTCTGCTGTGCTGGTGAGAAAGCAGCTACAGGCTATGCACATAGAATGGCATGACTGTGTGTTAATAAAACTTTATTTAAAAAAGCATGTGGCCAGCCAGATTTAGCCCAGGACTGGTTTCAAGTCTGTTCCTTTGACTGGACTGGTCCCTGTTCTAGCTATAGAGAGTATTTCTTCATGCTGTCCCTACGATGCTCACACTCAGAGCTGGAGCAGATAGTGTTGGTCTGCAGAAGACTGAACTCTGGCAGGGACAGAAAAGATAGGAATGAGGCCTGGGAAGTGGGCAGAGGAGGAAGCTGAGCCTGCACTGCTTCATGCATCCTCCAAGACCTGGAAATGCAGACACATGCTGTCTGTATGCTGCTCCGCCTCTGCTGTGACACACACCCTTGCAGAGACCCTAGAGATCCTCAGGTTTCCACATCCCCAGGGGACTTGCAGAAAAGGTGGAAGAGTTTGTGACTTGCCTCAGGTAAATGGCTAAAGAGCTTCCACTCTTCATCGGGGTCTTTCTATAACAGCATCCAACACTGGTTCAGCCATCTGGGATATTCAGTGCCCTCATGGTGGACATTAAAGGAAGCAAGGAACCAGGCCCACACCCTGTCCTTCAGGGAAGTTGGCTCTGATAACACTCATTTTCCCACATACCTCAGCCTGAGGCAGAACCAGAATGCCACAGTGGGGGACCTGGTACCCACTGTGGGAAGGGACACAGCCTGCAAGTCCTGAAATCAGGGCTCACTTCCAGACAGGGTCCTGCATGGAGGTGGAAGCAGGGAGCCACGGTAGCAGAGTAGTCTAATTTTGAGGTGTTCAGAACCCAACCCAGTCCATCAGTCTCCAAAGCAGCGTTGGGCCCCCACGACTCTCCTTGCCTTTTCAGAGCTACAGAGGGAAACTGAGGCCCAGAGGTATGAAAATACACTCAGGGCAGCTCCTACCTGACAATACTCCACTCTGGCTCGATACGCACAATGGTGGGGTCTTCCACATACTGGAAGACCAGGTCCTGGCGGATCCTGGCCCTGTCCACCTGCACCGTCACCTTCATCTCCAGAACCTCATCAGAGGATGTGGTGTTGCAGACGATGAAGGACGGAGATCGCCTGGAGGAGGGAAGCAGAGCGGCGGGCCCCGGATACTGAGAGGATGGTGGTCCTGAGAATTACACCCGACTGCCCATGCGAATCAGGCTCCTCAGAGGAAAAGGGGAGAACTGGCTTGGATGAAAAACTCAAGCACCAGGAATAGACTGTCTCGGACTGAGCTCTTGACAGGCTCACTGAGCCCAGCATTCTCACAGGCGTGGTCCTGGGCCCTTGGTCTACCCAGCCTTCTTTTTATCAAGAATGGTGCTAAATCAGTCTGGTGAGGATTTCAAGACCTTGGGCTTTGATGACCCTGGCTTTCTCTTGGCAAGAATCCCAAGCCTGCATGCAAACTCCTCTTCCCAGTTCTCCCTCCCAAGACTCCTCATTCTGCTGTTGGCTCTCAGTCCCCAGCTGTGTTCACTGCACTTGGAGTTGAGCTGTCTCTCTCCCTTATTGTGATAGGGTCTGCTCTGTTGCAGCTGTCCTGACCAAGCCTTCCTTGCCTTTTTAACAAGTGTCAGAGTAATGTGTTCTTCAACACTACTATAGCACACTCTAGGCTGCTCCTACTTCAGCCCCATGGCAGTCCTCAGCACAGTCCCTTCCAAGAATGCCTCTCTCTAGAGACCTTCTGGCTCTTCTGGAGGCCAGGTGTGCCCTTCTGGGCTAGCAGGTGGCACAGGGAGGGAAAGCTACCTCCCTTGGTGCTGTTTCAGTCAGCACTGAGTCCCAGCTGGGTCTGTGGCAGCTGGAGAGATGCTACCCTAGGAACAGGGTCTAGAATAGATTTTGAGCTGCACTTTGTAGCAGGGAAGGGCCACAGTGCCCTCCTGGAGACAGCATCCACTTTCTCAGGAAGCAGCACATACTCCCAAGAGTTAGCCAGGAAGTCCCTGCCTTTGGTGGTCCCTCCCTCCCTGCTCCAGGTAGTGACCTATCTGCCCCACCCCGGGACCCCTGGGGTTACCTGTGGAAGTGGCAGGGCTGCTTTCCGAACATCACCACCACGTTGCTGCCCGCGTTCAGGTTGGTGCCTGTGATGGTCACTTGGGTACCCCCAGACATGGGCCCCCGGCTGGGCTTCAGGTCTGACAGCGACAGGGTCTGTGTAGGAAAGGACAAGCCTGAGACACGATGCCTCGGAGGGTAGAGGTGGTGCTGGGCTGTTCCTTGCCCAAGCTGTCTTCTGCAACTTTCAGTCAAGGTGGCTGTGAGAATAGGCAATGTCTGGGACCCTAAGAGTTTGCATAACTGTATCTACAACAGCAACAAAGGCAGCTGCCATGCACTGATATTGTATGTGTCAGGCTTTATCTATAGCAATATACATACATGTACACACATACATATAATTGTCCAATCAACTCTATAATGAAGGTGTTACTATTTTATAGATGAGATCCAGAGATGTTAAGTTTTCCATGCTTATACATTCAAAAAGTGAAATAATTGCAATCAGACTCCAGAGCTCCAGTTCCCAACAACCTTGCCCATCTACAGTCTCACTGCTTTGGGAAAGGTGACTTAGTCACTTCTGCAGGCTTCTTCAGAGAGCTGCCCAAAGCACCTCGTGGGTAGAGCCATGGAATGTGAGCGAGACACAAACAAGAGTCCTGTCTCTTTCCAGGCCAGTCCAGAGTCCCTACCATGATGGGACTAGAACAGCAGGGCTGTGAGTGGGGGCAGGGACGAAACTGCCACAGCTGGGGATTTGGAGTTGCAGTTCTTTCTTTCATTAGCATTTTAATGGAAAAACTTTCCTTGGTCCCAGGTGAGAAGCCTGTATCTGCATTTAAATGAAGATTGCCCTCTCCCTTCCCCAGCCACATCCCTTTAAAGAACTTGGCTCTAAAGAGAGAGGCTGGCATCCTTCCCGAGGGAGACCTCCTTCGGTGAAACCTCAGGGCGCAAAGAGAAACCCTGGCAGAACCAGACACCCACTGCCTAGCGTGCGCCCAGGTACAGGGGCAGGGCACACAGGGCACTGCTGACCTCACAGTGGAAAGAGCCTGCTTTCTCAGCTCTGCCTGGATCATGCTCTGTAGCTCATCTTAAGATAGAATCTCTTTGGTAACAAAATCAGGAATGAAGGACTGAGCCAAAAATTGGTTCTCTCCAAGGCAATTGCACCACCACAAAGGGCCTGCAGAGCTCCCTAGAGACGGAAGGAAAAGTACAGTGTGTATGGTGTGGTGTGGTATGGCATGATGTGTGTGTGTGTGTGTGTGTGTGTGTGTGCGTGCGTGCGTGAGAGAGAGAGAGAGAGAGAGAGGAAGGGCTGTCCATGTATGCACATGGCTTGAAGGCAGCATGGTCCTAGCCTGCCTTGGGAGAGCAACCAGCCTGTGGGTGGTTCCTAGAAGGACAGAAGTGGGTAAACCCCTGGGGTTTGTCATGGTGCTGCTATCAGGGGGTCTCTGGAGGAGGGCAATTTTCCAGGGATGGGGAGAGAGTGTTATGGAGACATGTTTTAGAATTGTGAGAAACTATTAATTATTCAAGTCATGCTTCATAAATATTTCACGGTGGGTTTGCACGGGAAATCAAATCATTATTTGCAAGCTCCTCACTTGGCTCTGTGGATGGAGGTAGTCGGTGAAGAAAAAGAATTCTCTGAAGGGCCTGGATCTGGATCCCTTGGCCTTGGAGGTTGAGTTTGGGTTAAATAAATCAGATCAGAGCCTGGACTGATTTGTGGAGGGAAACCCCAACCTTGCCCCCAACTCTCACATTGGGAAAGGACACCCCAGGTCCTGAGAAGCACCTCCTAAAACAGGGCTTCCTAGTGTACCCCCAGAGGAACCAGAGGAAGGAGTTCCCCAGCGTCCCAGGACTTCTGTGCGGGATCCAAGGAGTGTCCCACACCAGCCACCTGGATGAGCAGAAGGCAGTGGGGCTCTGGGTGCTTGGAAATATAATAGAAAGAATTCTGTCCCTTCCTGCCTCGAGAAGAAATTCATGGAGACCACAGATGTTGTTGCCACCCAGACACATTTGGAGCTCTGTGGGGATTTGGGGGCTCCATGACTCAATCCTTCAGTGTAAACTGGACCAGAGGACAAGGTCAGTGTCATTAGCATTGGTCTTCCTCAAAGTCTTCCCCAGTGAGTAGACATGAGACACCAGATTGTTCCTTGGAGGTGCCCTTCAAATACCAAAGTGACACCAGTCTTGAGCCAAAGGACCATTGGTTTGTTTTATGGCATTTTTCTCCACAGGTTCTGATCTGATGCTGTTCTTCCTCCTCCTCCCTGCCCCTTCTCTCTCCCTTCCTCAGTTCTGATCTCCAGTGTACATCAGAGTCAACCGTATTCCATGAATGACTGCCTACTCCCCAAGGTCCCCACAGAAGTCAGTCTGGCCTGGACAAATGCTGCTTTTCTAGGGACCCTACTGTATATGAGAAGAGGAGCCCAGCTGCAGAGGAGCAGTGGAGTGTGGTGCAGGAAGATACTCTGGCACCAAGGGGTGGGCTGCAAGGGTTGTGGTATCCCCAGCTCAGCTCTGTGTATTCAGAAGACAACAGGTAGGGCACGGGCTGAACTCTGCAGAGAGGAAGATGTGGCTTAGCGCAGCCAGGGGAAGGAGACAGAGGGGAAGGAGGTGGGAAAGGTGGAAGTTGGAGAAATAAGATTGGACAGGGAAGGTGAACACATCAGAGAACTCAGGGTCCTCAAAGTAGAGACAGCTTGATGCAAATGAGTTTTCCATGGAGGTAGAGGGGTTATAATTGGCACAGACCAAATGCAGATTTAAGGGGGAAATAGTGCGAGCAAAGAGAATAGGAAAAGTGAGACTCCAGGATATGGTGAAGATGGCTTTCAGGGATTAATGGAAGCCAGGGCACAGTTTGCTAAGACTACTAGACTGGGGGACAGGCCACAGGCAGAAATGGGCAAGAGGGGATGCACTGTGTTGGGGGGCGGACATCTTGGATAAGTCAGGCTTGGGCACAGAGGTTGGAGTTTCACAGAGAGACATGTTAGAAAAAGCTGTAACCCCAAGGAAATGCCAGTTTAGTGAATTAGAGGCTTGGCTAGTCCTGTCTACTCTGTCATCCAGGGTCACTGCCAAGGACACAGGATGGAAACCATCTGGCTGGCTGGATGGCTGTGGAAGCCCAGCGCTTGCTTTGGCCATGCTGTGGTTGCCTCCTTCTTCCTCTTTGCTGCCAGGTGATCCAGAGCCAGATTCCTTGCCCAGAACCTGGTGAGCAGGAATGTCACCAGTGTGTGTTCAGTAACGGTCACTGGCACCTAAAGGGAGGTTTGGTTTCCCAGGAGCAGAGGTGGGGAGGGGCATCTGACCTGCATTTCTCTGATGTTCACCCCACCACATTCAAGTCCTTAGCTGCAGCTGATCTCACCCACCTTGGAGACTGTGGATCTACTGAGAGAGGGGCTGTGCTGGCTGTTAGTTATCACCACAAAACCACAGTCAGAGCCACCAAATTACATTACAGAATTCAATGTAATTAACCAAGTATTTATCAAAAATATGGCAAGGGATATTGCACAAGGTGATGAATGCTGTCAGTTGAAGGGACAAAAAATGAACTCAAAGAAAAGAGGGAAGGAAGGCAGCAAGGAAGAAAAGAGGAAAGGGAGGGAGGAGGAAGAGAGAAGGATTTCCCATGACATTATTTCAGGGCATTTGATGCCCGGGCATAAAATCCATTACCTTTACCACAGGCCTCCAGCTTTCAAAAGCAGCTCGGGACCCTGAGCAAATTATACCATTGTAGTTGTCATTAACATGCGAAGACAGTTTTGAAAGCATTGGGTGTGCATGGCATGGGATGTGCCATGTCTCCAGTGTCCCCACAATCACAAGGCCAAGGGACCCCAAAGCCTCTCTCCTCCAGAATCACTTGATAGGACCATATAGGCTGGATGGAGTCAAGACCTGGCAGGATGGGGTGACCTGTCGAGAGGCTGAGGGAGGAAGAAAGGGGTGGTGGATGGTGGGGGGGTAACAGTGTGGGTGGGTGGGGATGGGCTGGATGTGCAGGTGGACTGTGGGGCCGTGAGATGTAGGACAAGTGAAAGAAGCACTGAAGAGGTCATGGGGCAGGGCTGATGGTGAGTGGGGGGTGGGGGAGAGAAGGTGATGGGCTGGGAATGATGGGCATGAGTGTACAGGGAAAGGTGAGGGTTTAGCAATGATAGGCAATACAGGAAATGATACTAGAAAGAATAAGTACATTTTATGTAATTTTCATGATACCACGTTGTAGGTGCTATTATTGTCTCCATTTTACAAATGAAGAACCTGAGACACAGAAACATTAAGTAACTTGCCAAAGTTCACCTAGTTAGTAAGTAAGTGGTAGAGCCTGGGTAACAAGGCCCAGGAGTCGTTATATGTGTAGACTGCACACTCACATACCCATTGCGTCACCCCTCCACTCAGCCGGGTGGGGACACTGGGAACCAAAGGATACAGCATCTTACCTAGAGCCACACAACCAGACACAGCTAAGTCTGGATTTGAGCCTGGATCTCAAAGGCTTTCTTCCTACTGATGACAGGATAGGACTCCCATGATAGGGGAGGGCAGGCCTGCAGGCCCTTGCCCTGGGTTTGCAAGAACCTCTGGCAGGACCTAGCAGTAACAGTCATGAGCTTTGTGGTGATCAGGACTCACCATGAAGTAGTAGAGCTGTGAGGAGCGGGCCATGAACTCGGGCCGACACACAGCTACACAAATCTCCACAAAGCCTGCATGCTGGCTGGGCTTGGCCTCCCCCATCTCACACACGATCCTGCAGGAGGAGAGAGAGAGGGACTCATGAGCCCTGGGACTCCCAGCTGTGATTGTGACCCTGGATCCCATAGTACCTCCCAGCCCCTTCTGCTATGCAGTAGACTCTCAGGAACATCAAGAGAGGTAGGAGTAAATGACACCCCTGTAGTGTTTTAAATATGAAGAGTCCTCCAAAGACTCACGTATTGAAGGTTTGATCTGCAATAAAGCAATGTTCAGAGGTGGGGCCTAGAGGTGATTGGATCAGGATGGTATTAACCTCATCAGTGGGTTAATCTGTGCCAAGGGCCTAAAGCAGTGGAGCCAGCTGACCATGGACTGAAAGCTCTAAGACTGTGAGCCAAAATAAACTTCTTCTCCTTTCAGTTGTGTGTAACAAGTCTTTTGACCCAGCAACAGGAAGGTTAACTACTATACCCCGATTCTTTCCTGCAGGGCTCCACTTGGGTGCTAAGGAAAGGGGGACATTTTGAGGGAGATTAGAAGTCTCAGTGTCCTGACCCCAGACATTTAGTCTGGTCTGTGACTGTCCATGCAATTGTTAGTGAGAGTGGAGGGAAGGTTTTCGTCAACCTACTTAGGAAAATAGAGCTAGCAGAGAAATTATGTACCCTATCCAAGGCGCCACAGCAGTCAGACCCAGAATCTGAACTGACCTAAAGTTCTCAGGTCTTCACTTGGGAGCTCCTTGCTCCCAGCACTTGGGCTACTTCAGGGACCTGTTTTTTGTTCCCAGCAGCCCAGCTTTCAGGATGGACAAAGAAATACCTATGTGTATATAGGCAGGGATATAGGTATAAAGGCTGGGATGCATAGTCTTGCATATATATATATTTTCTTCATTTTACAAATGAAGAAACAGAGGCACCAAAAGTTAAGCAACTTGCTCAGACATGTGTATAGTCCAGATGTATATATGTATATCTTCCATATCCATGGGATCTACATCTGTGTTCGAAGCAGCCATGGATCAAAAATGTTCCCCCAAAATCACGTCTGTACCCTATGCGTACACTCTTTTTCCTGTCATTATGCTCTAGACAATACTCTATAATAATAATTTGCATGACACTGCCATTATATTTAGTATTACAAATAAAAGAAATGATTTAAAGTATAGGGAAGATGTGTGTATGTTGTAAGCAAATATTGTATTACTTTATAGAAGAGATTTGAGCATTCTTGGGCTTCAGTATCTACTGAAGGTTTTGAAACCAGTCCCCCTGGGATACACACACACACACACACACACACACACACACACACACACTTTATATGCATACACATGTCCATATTACACACAAGTATAAGGATATAAAGATAACGTGTCCACTGTCCTACAACCGTACAGCATGGACTTTTATTCATGCTACTATATAGATAGCTCTACATTTTTTAAGAGCATCACAATCATTTTTCTGTGATTGCATTATAATTTTATGCAACCACCTTCCTATTGATGGACATTTAATTATCCCTATTTTTATTCTGCTTCAAATATCCCTACAAAATGAACCAATTTATATCAACATTCCTAAGCTCAGTATGCTTACTAGAATGTGCTTCTAAGGAGGGAACTTCTGGGTTAAATGCCTTGTGGATATAGAATTGATAGACAGATCCAAATAATACTCCAGAAAGGCTGCCTTGGTTTGCATTTCTATCAGTGGTCCACTCTGGGCCAACACTAAATATTAGTAAGCCTTTGTAAGTTTTTCCAGTATTCTAGGGGGAAAAAAAATCTCATTTTAATTTTCATTTTCCTTGTTACGAGTGAGGCTGCACATATTTGTATATGTGTTTTATTCTCTATAGCCTCCCCTTTGACTTTTCTGTTGAAGCCCTCTCTTTTTCTGATGGATGGTCTTTATGTAGGCCCTTCTGAACTAGGAGTATTAACTTTTGTCTGCTGTAAATATGGCAATTATTTTCTGCCCATTCGTCATCTCTTTCAACTTTGGTTTCAATATCTTTTGCCACATGAAAGTTTCAAAGTATCTGTGATTAAATTGGTTGTTTTACTTTATAGTATCTACCTTTTGTGTTTCCCTTAGAAAGAACTTCTGAGGAAATAATCCTCCAAAAATATATAATATGTATACCTTTATATAGTACACACACACACACACACACACACACACACACACCTTTCTGCTCACATAAATAGTGTGTGTTCCATGTAAAAAGATATGAAAAGGACATAAAAGCACTTGTCATACATACATAACCACTCCCTTCAAAGGCACTACACAGAGATTTCCTTTGTCAACATTTTGGGGTAGATTTTCAATCTTGTTTTGTCTTTTGCTGAATTAATTATAAATTCTGTATTCTGCCTGGTATTATATGGTTTTGCTTGAAATACCTCGAAGATATGCCTGGCCATGATTCTTTGATAGTGTGAGATTTAGTGGTTTTATAATGTACTATCTACTGCATGTACAGATGATCTCTGACTAATGACTGCTTGATTTATAATATTTCCACTTTACAATGATGCGAAAGTGATACCCCTTCCATAGAAGCCACACTTTGAATGGTGAACTTTGATCTTTTCCTGAGCTCGCAATGTGTCCTATGATATTCTGTTGCACTTCTGGATGGTGGCAGTGAGACACAGATTCCAAAGAGCCATCATCCTGCAGGAAAGACCTGACACTCCGTTGTGTACACTGTTGCTAAGCTGGAATGATTGGTACACTAGGTGTATTAAATGCATTTTGAATTTATTATATTTTCAATTTATAATGGGCCTATCAGCAAATATCCCATTGTAAGTTAAGGAGCTTCTGGACAATAATTTATTGAATTGACAAATTTCCCATTTTTAGATCTACAAATTACTTCTGAGTTTTTATTATAAATACAGCTGAAATATGCATTCTTGCAAGCAAACATTTGTACAAGCTGGTTATTTAAGGAACAATTTAGAAGTGTGGTGGTCAGGCTAAAGTCTTCTGACCCATATTTCCAAGTGACTTTTAGAAAGTTTGTCCCAATATTATACCCTGCCATGAGTGAATGGGCCTGTTACTTCTCATGTCTCTTGTCTACACTGGGTATTTCTAAAATTTGATCTCTATTATTTTAATTTGCATTTTTATGACTTTTAGTCCTTTATACATCTTTTGTATATCGTACATTCACGGTCTTTTCCCACTTTGTGATATTTTTCTTTTATTTATAAGGACTTTTAACTCGTTAAGGCAAACTACTAACTGTGATAGGGTCTAATCATATTCCTGGTTTATCACTCACAATTTTATTTTCTTACAGTGATTTTTGAAGTGCAAGTTTTAAAGCTTTCTGTGCTCAAATTCCCTAATCTTTTCCTTTATAATGCCTTTTTTTGCAGTTTATATTACCCTCTTCCTGAAATCAAATAAATTCTCACCTGTTTTCTTTGAATCCTTTTACAGTTTCATTTTTTATCCATAACTCTTTAATCCATCTGGAATTTATTTTTGTGTCTAATGTGAAATAAGGATCCGATATTGTACTTTTTCCAGGATGTTAACCAGCGCTATTTATTAAATGATCTTGTCTTTCTTTGCTGATTTGAAATGTTACCTCCCTTACATATTAAGTTTTTACATGTCAGAATTGTTTTGCTGGGTGTTCTCTCTCATTCCATAGATCTAACTGTGAGTTGGGACTTAGAGAGACAGTGCAGAGAACTGAATTCATGCTTCTCTGGCAGTCTAAATTTTGCTTTGTCTCACCTCTACCGCAGGCTCCAGGTAGGTAGCATCATTTTTTTCTTCTCTCCCTGTGATCACCCCTTCCCCGCTCTGTACTTTCCCAGTATGGCAGCTGGGGGTGGGGAGTTTATGTGGGGGTACTTCCAGCACTGTAGAATGTCTGAGGCATCTCTTTTTTCTGAAGTTCACTGAAGTTCTGAAATTCTGTTGTTGACAAGGGCATTCCTCATAGAGGTCGAGCCTCCCTAATCTGAAAATCTAAACTCTGAAATGCTCCAAATTGCATTTTGAGTGACAACTTAATGTCACAAGTGAAAAGTTTCACACCAAGAAACTTAATTTCATGCACTAAATGATTAAAACAATTGTAACAAATTGCCTCCAGCCCATGTGCATAAGGTGCATATGAAACATAAATGAAGGTCATGTTTAGATTTGGGGCCCATCATGAGAACATCTCATTACGCATATGTAAATATTTGAAAATCTAAAAAACCCTAAATCTGAAACACTTGTGGTCCCAAGCACTTGAACTAAAGGATACTCAGCTTGTACCAACTTGTCTCCCCGCACCTTCTCCACATGTCAGGGGCCTCCACTTACTGTTCTGCAGGGATGTAGCCATCTACCAAAGGGCTGCACTCCACACCAGCCACCTTGACATGGGAGGCAATGTCCCGGAATTCCAGGCCCAGGTTCTCTCCCCGGATGGTGACCTTGGTGCCCCCTTCCCGGGGGCCGGTCACTGGAATTATCTGCAGGGAGGAGGAGAAGAATGGTATAGGCTCTAGGATATGCTTTTGATCACCTTCAATGGGACCAACAGATTGTCTGTTTTTTCTTTCAGTTGTGCTAACCCCTTGAGTGGTTCTAAGTCCACAGTCATCCACAGTCTGGGGCTGTTAATGGGCTGTGGCCTTGAGTGAAGCAATGTATTTGTGCATGGTCTTAGGAACTGTGTTCAAAGTCCCTGGTGTATCTTTCCATCTTGTAGAAGGAGATGAGGGGATGAAATGTAACTGCAGTATTACTGGATAATTAGCAGAAAATTAGAATTAAAGTCTTTTGGCCTTTGCCCATGTTAGATTTACTTTCAAGGAGAATAAAATCTTTCTATCAATCTATCCAGGATCATCCTGTGAACCTTTGGAGATCCTTCCCAAATGTCAATCTCCATAACCACATATTTTTCTCCACTGAAATCCCAAGGCACCTTATTTTTCTGCTTTGTTTGACGATAACAGTTATTTATGTCTGCTTCCTCATCTTTCCGACTCCTAGCCCTGCCTCTTCAGACCCTTATCTACTGAGGGCAGGGACTGTGTCTCATTGCTCCCGTGGTCTTGTGAGAGCAGCGTGCATTGTAACTATAATGAAAACAGCACTTTTCTGGTCTTTTAGGAGCAATGGTCACACACTCTGCCTTAATTGTTTGGTTTCTCCTGGGGATAAGTTTAAGTTAGATTTTACCCTGGTATAGTGGTCAACATGTCTGGCTTTTCCTCTTAAGATGCCATCATCAAACCAAGATTGGAAAGTTAGGACTCAACAGCCCCGGGCAGCTCTGAGGGATGAGCAAGGACAGTCAATGAGATCCTAATGTGACAAGTACACCTCACCCACTCCTTTCCTCTGCTGATGCCTCAGTGCACCTGCACCTGGCTTCTGGCTCATGTCTGGGGATCAGAATAGTAGGAGACTCTAGCTCTTTTCAGCATGTGCTACCGTCCCACCCAGCAAGGGTCACAACTGTGGTTTCATCCTGAATAAGGGTGAAAGTTGGGGAAGCAAAGGCAATAGGATTGACTGCCCCTGAGCAGCATCTTTGCTGGGAGAGCTGTTTGCCTACAACAAGCCAACCACCTCCTGCCTCTTACACATCCCTCATGTGGGCATGAATATTTACAAGTGGATGTGCACATGGGTATGAGAGTTTGCACTGTGTCCCCATTGTAGTAGAAAAATAGCTTCCTCAGAAACACAGACCTATCTCTGCATGAGGGAGGCAGGCAGCAGCCAGGAAGACAGGGAGAGGGTGTCTGGGTTTGTCCCCAATGCCTGCCCAGATGGTCAGTGTCCAATGTGCCCCCAGCACCTGGCAGCAGTGTCTACATCAAATTCCAGCCCCAGCTTGTCATCCTGTAAAAGAAATTTTATCTCTGGCCCAGTCCAGGTTCCCTGGAGGGCTGATGCCAGGATGGAGGCAGTAAATAGCCTCCATTGCAGGGAGATTTGTTTAATTTGCAGCCTCCTCCCTGTGATTTTCTTGGGCCCAGGCCAAGAAGAAAGCAAGTTGCTCTGACTCCTGAGCCCAGCACACTAGGAGCTGCCATGTGCTGTATCCCCAGGGCTGGCTTCTTATTAATGGCGTGGGGGCAGCGGTTCGTAGAGGACGTGCAGGGTGGGGTAAGCTGGGATGGAAAGAAGGGGGACACAGGCTGCAGAAGGGGCACTGACCTTGTCATCTTGCTGCAGTTCTGTAGGTTAAACGTGCTAGTGCTTGCCCCCAGTTTGTCCTGCTTAGCTCCTCCCCATGTGGAGGACTGGAAAGGGGCTGAGTGGAGCTCCTCATGCATAGATAACCAGAAATTTGGATGGTGAAAGGACTGAGGAGTGGGGCACGTTTTGAGGGTCACCCTGTAAGGCTGCTTTACTGGGTAAGGCTCTTCACCCACAAAAGTGAAGACCCTTCTGGCTGTAACACAGCAATTATGTGTGCACAATTTGAGAGTCGGGGTGTAAAGTCCTACCACTGCAATGGCGAACAGTAACCCAGGACTCAGAAGATGCTGGCAGGGCAAAATTACATTGCTGAACATTGGTCTCTTTGTATGGGAAAGGGCAATGATAGCCCTGGCCTCAGCCAATGTGATGGGTCAAATTGTGTCCATCCCACAGATTCATTTATGGAGGTCCTAACTAACCCCGGTAGGGTCTTTACAGAGGCAATGGAGCTTAAATGAGTTCATTAGGGTAGGCTTTACTCCAATATCATTGGTGTCCTCATACAAAGGGGTAAGTGAGACACAGAGGATCATGTATTGCAGGGAGAAATGAGAAGACACACAGATGGAAGAGGGTCACCCACAAGCGCAGGAGTGAGGCTGAACCAGTTCCTTCCTCACAGTCCTTAGAAGGAACAAACCCCACCAACACCTTGGTCTTGGACTTCTATCTCCAGAATTGTGAAAAAATGGATTTCTACTGGTTAGGCCACCTAGTTTGTGGTACTTACAGCAACTCTAGGAACCCAACATAAGAGGGTGGCTGTGAAGACTGGTGAGACATGAAGGTACCATGCAAACTCTAAGGCACTGCACATACACATAGCCTAGGGCTGTGACTGCCACTGCGAGACTATCAGATAATATATGTTTATAGGCACCAGTTTGTTCTCATCATTTACAGGAAGAGTCTGAGCTATTTTCCTTCTCTTTGCCTCTCCCTTTCCTGTCTGGTTATTATCATAACCAGCATCCACAATGGCAAAGAGGCACTGAGCTCCTATCACATGCTACCTCCTGTGCCATGTGCAAGACACAGTAGAGTATGTAGAAAGAAACATGCATCTCTCTTTCTTACTTTAAGAGGGGACAAGGAACTCCAGCCACAGCAAAAAGGGGTATTTTAGCTGGTCTTTCTGCCACTGTGTGCAGTGGAGAAGTGAAGAGAGTAAGCTACTTAAATGAACCCCAGGGCAGCAATTTCCTTGGTTTAGGTATCTTTGGTCATGATTTTAATGATGTTCATGAATGAGGAGGAGGAGGAATGGAGCTAAGTAGGCAATCTATAGTACAGTCCACTCTAATCCACTCCTTGTGTATCTCCCCTGTACAGGCGAGGACAGTGAGGAATAATGAATTAGCCCCAAGGCACCCATCAGTGAGCTAGTGGAACCTGGATTCAGACTCTGTTGTCTGTGTCCCACTATGTACATGTTTAGCCTTGCCTGGGCCCCTCCTTAGTCTTGTACTCTTGTGTGCAAATTCATTTCTGCCCCTATAACTTACTTGCTTTTGGTGAGCCCTGAGGCTTCCATTGTGACCTTCACCCTGTGCCCTGGGCTGGGCTCTGCACCGGAGCCTCCATGAACCCTTTGCCACTGATATAACCTTGCCACAGAGGCATTTAGGGACTGTGTCCTTTCAACAAGCTCATGTGGCTTACCTCCGTGATGCGGGGATTTGTACACTTGCTGTTGGCACCTGACAGCTCCAGCCACCGACTCTCATGGGCAGGACAGTGCTGGCGCAGGGTGCACTGGCCTGGGTTCTGGCACCAGCCACACTCGAAGTCTGGGTCAGCTTTGAGACACAGCCCACAGCTCTCACGCATGGCCCCACACTTGTAGAGGTAAACTGCAGAAGGCAAGGGCAAGAGATGCTTTGGGATGAGGTGGGCCAGAAGGGGACAGGAAGAAGGACCAAGAGTACAGTCCCAGTCTGGGAGGAAGGGTCCTAGGGCAGCTTTGCCCCTTAGCCATTCTGACAGAAAAGACAAAAGGAACCCCAGGGCTGAGGGAAGAGACGCAAGGAAGCAAGCCATGAGTCTCCATGCTCAGCAATTCTTCCCAGCAAGTCTCTTCTTCTGCTCCCTCCTGCAAGCCACCAGCCAGGAGCCCAGGCCCAAGAAGAGACAGCAAAGTATGCATGGTAGAGAGGCTAGGAGGAGGGACTCAGAGCTGGAGGGAGATATCAAGGGTTAGCAAGTGGGGGCTCCCCATTCCATCCCTCCCCCTGCTTTTCCCACCACGCTTGCCCCTCCACACCTTTATTCTGAGCAGGGTTGTCGATGTTAAAGTGCCCATTCCACACAACAGTCAGCTCCACAGGTAGGTTGTTGATCTCCATCCCTTCATAAGAGTACTGAAGCCATATGGGGAGAAGAGAAGAAAGAAAGCTGCACAGAGAATTCTAGAGGCTGTAAGTGCAGCCTCAGGCCCCCAAGAACACACAGGGCTAAGGACTGGCCAATACTTGTCCACTCCTTTATACACATGTGCATGTGTATATGGGGTGGGTCTGGAGGAAAAGAAAGAAGTGGGACCTGGATTCCTAGCATACCTGTGTGAAGCCACACCTGTGTGGAGAGGGCTTCAAAGAGCAGCTTGGATAGAGCCAGGAGCCATGGTTCATCACCATGGATCTTGGTGAGGAGGCTGCAGGCAATTGACCTACTTCCACCTAGCTGGGCTTTCCCAGGAAGTCTAACCAAGAAGGAGTCCTCTTTCTCCCAGGGAAACTTTCCACAAGGCCCTTCTAGGCCCACCTTTACACCAGGGAACTTTCTACTCCCCAGCAGGGAAAGTGGGTGCAGAGAGTAAAAATGAAGGAGCTACAGTCTTTAAGGGGATGTGAGGCTGGAGATAAAAGAACCAAAGATCAGGTGAGTGCTGACAGTGTAAAATCCTTCAGGGCGAGACCCTAAAGGCACTTACTGGCTCAAAGCCAGGCACACCTCGGCTTCCACACTGCTGTCCTTGGGGATACTGGCTGCCTCTGTCACCGGGTTCCTCATCCCACCCCACCCTCCCCACCCCACCTACTCCACCTGGGTAGGTCCTGGCTAAAAGAAAGGGGGTGAAGGCTGGGAGCAGGAGCAGGTGCAGAGGGCAGGGCCTGAGCATTCCAGCCCCTGCCCTGCCTCTGACAGCAGATGCTTCTCAGTGCCCAAGGAAAGGAGGTAAGCAGAGGGAACTCAGACCCTGCCCTGGGCAGCATTTCCAATCCCTACCTGGTGATTTTCTCATTATTCCACCAGACTTTGCCCTCGCAGGGGGCAGGACAGATGAATGGAATTGAGACAGGTTTTCTGTACAGAAGCAGCTGAGATCTGGGAATTTGTTGAAAGGGGACTTGGTTTGAAGTTGTGTTTGTAAAACCAATGAGCTCTTTTAATGCAGTTAAAGTTTGGAGGAGCTGGGCTTTGGAGATGGTGATGGCTACACGGGACCTCTCCCATGCTTTTCCTCCTCCAAGAGGCCACAGCATCTTCCCCAAAGAGAGCAAGGAAGACAGCCACAGGTATTGGGAATGTCTGCCTTGGGAGACTCTCAAGGTCCAGGGAGTATGCCTTTGGGTGTGGGCAGGAATGGATGGAAGCTTCTAAAGGATATGGTATAATCCTCCATCCAAGAAATCTCCCTGAGTCCCTAAATGAGCCCCAGTGTAAAGATGCCATGGTGTTGTCCCAAATGACACAAGTTTAACTCCCTGCTACCATATGCCCAGGTCAGGGAGGCATGTTCGGCATTTTTCCCAGGATAGAGGTGGTTTGCAGTGCACCGTCACAGATTCCCTCCTGTGACTGATACCACCTGGGTCCAAAGAATAAAGCAAAGTCCCCTGTCGTTGCAGGAACAACATCAGAGATATCCATCATCTCATAAACCAGGACAGTGGTCATCCTTTACCAGAGGGATATGTTCCAAAACTCCAAATAGATGCTGAAACCTCACATGGTACCAAACCCTATATATGCTTTCTTTTTTCTTGTACATACATATCTATGACAAAGTTTAATTCATCGATTAGGCAAAGTAAAAGATAAAAAATAGTAACTAATAAAATAGAACAATTATAACAATATATTATAATACATCGTGTGACTGGTCTCTGTCTGCCTCTCAATACTATGACCGATAATGTGGCAACAGGCAGGGAACATGGCGTGGAGGCACCGGACCCAAGGGATGATTCACATCCTAGTAAGATGGAAGGGAACAAATGGAGATTCTATCATGCTACATGAAAAGGTTGGCAATTTAAAAGTTATAATTTTTTATTTCTGAAATTTTCTACTTAAGATATCAGGACTGTGGTTGACCACGGGTAACTGAAACCATGAGAAGGGAAGCTGTGAATAAAAGGAGATTCATCATCAAATCCTGAGAGGTTCAGTCTCTGCACTGGGTCAGGCTGCAGCATCCCAACCTGTCTGATTTTTTCACAAACTTCTGCCACTGTGAACTCTTAGGATAGACTAACAACCCCTTCATCAGAAGCAGGGATGAGATACAGGTTCCAGGGCTCACTCTAGACCTGAATTTGAATTTGAATTTGACTCTCTGGAGATAGGGAACATTGCAAAAGAGCTTCTCCATGCTTTCAGGGCCAACTAAAGTTTGAAAACCCCCACAGTGTGCAAGAAGCAGGGCCAGCCCAGTGGAGAGACAGGTATGTAGGAACAGGTGCCTTCCCTTTGGTGAGAGAAAGAGCCAGGTTCCCTTACAGGCTCCCTTCCTATCTTCTTCCTCTAGTCTGGTTCCACCTCTTTTCATCTGGCCCCACCTCAAGGCCCCAGTGGGAAGGGGTGCCCAGGGCCTCAGACTCCCAGCTAGAGGTCTCTGGGAAAGGCGGGCTGCCCTGCTTCAGTCTGAGCACCATGTGGTCACCTGCAGGCAGCACTTGGTGCCACAGAGCTCAGCCTTCAGAGGATGTTATGGTGGGTAAGACAGGTTGGGAGCCCAGCTTCTGCCCCTAGGCTGGCTATATCCAGGGCCAAAGGGGAAGTACCAGGTTCTGACTAGGCACCAGTGAGCCAAAGATCAATAGAACCTTCAGGCCCCTTTCAGGAAGGTCCTGAGACTCCCCCAGAGATGGAAGCAAGAAATTCTGCCTGTGTGAATGTCTGAGTGCACAAACGTGTATATACATGTTCATGATGTATAAACAACATGATGCATGTTCATCAGCTTTGTACATGAAGATCAGCTACTGTACATACTATCCCTATGTCCATAAATATACATGTACACACACACAGCCACAAAGTGGTCCTGTAGGAACCAGATTCTTGAACATAAGCAAAATGATCCAAGCCTCAGGTTTCCATTTGTTAAGTGGGAATTAAAACCAGTGCATATCTCCCCCAGGATGTTGAGGATTTGGGATAATGCATATAATGCCCTGAGACCTGTGCTTGCCACATAGTCTAAACTCCCCAGTATGCTGTGTATTTTAATCTATGTGTATACACCTGGGAATACTCTGTAAAACTCTATTTGTGCTACCTGTCTTTATGTTTATGTAGGAGAGTCATAACAGCCACATACTGTTTATGTGCCAGACACTTGGTACATATGGGGATGTGTGCTGCATATGAGAAACTCACATGTTCTGGTGTGTGTGTGTGTGTGTGTGTGTGTGTGTGTGCGTGCGTGCGCCTGAATGCACGTGCTCATGTGCTTTTTGATTTTGAAGAAAATTGAAAAAAGAAGAGACTTTAAGTATCAAATATGCTGGTCATGGTGTTCTTTTTCCCACCCTGATTCCTAGGATCACAATGATGAGATATTGTAGAAACGATTAACCCCAGGTGCTCCCCACTACCTCCTCAGTCTCAAGGGAAGTCACCGGTGATGGGAAGCCCCCTCTCCTGGGTGGTGGCTGACCTGTGCCCTGCAGGGGCATGGCTGGAATGCTATACCTCTTCTGACAGCTGAGGAGCTCAGGCTCTCGTCCCCAGGCCTCCCCCACCACTGCCCCACTTAGCATTTATATAGCTCTCTGTAATTAGCCAGCAGTTAGTCTGTGGGAAGAAGCTTCCGCCTGTGCTGGATGCTTACAGGGTCCTGGAGGCCAGGAGGTTAAATGTCTCAATCAAGGCCTAGCACACTGTGGCCTGACTAATGGATGACTGTACCCATTACCTCAGGAAAGCGTGACCTTCTGCTTCTCCTCCTTCTAAAGCAGAGAAGATCTCTTCAGAACTGAGACACTCTTGCCTCCAAGCAGTCCCTTTCTTGAGCTCTGATATATTTTGCCGGAAATTTCTGCCACACAAACGGGCCTAAAAAAAATGACACTACCACGTCTACCTCTAGGATTGTGCTCTCAGTTGTGCATCAGGAACAGTTTCTGTGCCCAGCTCCTTCCCCTCCTCTGTTCTGCACATGGTAAAGTGTCTGGGTAAAATGTGAGAGTGTGAAGCCCTGCAGCTAGGCCTTGGGCACCAGGCCTGTACAACCAGCACTCCAGCCAGCCGATGCCCTTTGCAGCCCCCTGCTTGCGTGACTGCAGTGCCAGAGAGGAGGTTGTGGGCTCTATTATTAGCAGCACTTGACATTTTCCTGGAGCCTTGGTCTGAAGTAGGCCATGTGTCCCCGCAGTGGCTCCCCCTCTGTGGCTGGGCTGCTCTTCTCCTCCCACTGTCCCAGGGGCTGCAGTCATTGGCTCAGGGGTTGTTCCTAAACAGTGGGGCTGGAAGGATTCCACCTGCTCATCCCAGCTACTGCCATGCTTGCTCTTGTCCCTGTGTCCCCCTTTTCTCTGCTCCCCTCTGAGACCTCTGTGACCAACTTCCTCTGCCATCATAAACCCAGGGGTTCCACTGCTAGGTCTGCCCTCCTCCGCCCACTCCAGATTGCTCATGGATTTAGAAAACAAAACAGTCTGTGCTACACAATCCTCTCTGAGGCTGAGGAGAGTCTGCTTCCAGGGATAACACCAAAGCTGGGAATACGGTACTCCACTGCTGGTTTTTTGCCTAATCTTAGGTTAGGTGGTGTTAGGGAACAGTTCAACCTCGGAATTTGCACCTTCCTTGCTGTGTGATCTGGGGGTGGACACTTGCCTGCTGTAGGCCTTTTAACCCCCTCTGTTAACAAGCTCTAGAAGATATTGTCAGGTCTGTTTCTATGTGATGGTACCTAGTTTTCTATAACTAAAGGAGAGGGGGTTTTTCCCTGCTTAAGGAATATTTTTTTTAAGAAATTCAATTGGCAGCAAGTGGCATCCTGGCAGAGACCAGTGTTACACTGGGATCCCACTTACCCTAAAGAAAAGAGAGGGTCCTCGGAAAAGTGAGAGCCGAGCTCTCCTGAACTTGAGATCCCAGTGGGTCCTGGTGGGGAGATGGGGCTCCTTTTGGGATACCCTTCTTTTTGCCTCAGTGTCTCAGACTTAAAATGGAGAGAAACAAACTTTCTGAGTACTGGGGATAAAAAGTCTCTCAGGTGAAGTTGGCAGAGGTCCTTTGGGAGTCCTGACCTGGAGGCCTCAGCACTGGTTGGATCTACAGAGCGGCACCTAGCTACACAGGCCAGAGTACAGGGGAATCCCTACCCCAGCTCTCAGGAAAGAAGGGGAGGGTCCTGAGCTTGGACAATAGGTACTGCCCTTGGTGGTTAGAGCCTCAGGCTCCAGCTGTGCCCACCACTCCTGGAAGCACATCTGGAAGTGCTTGAGCCTGGGCATTCGGGGGCATGAAGTCCTGGGCCAGGGGTTGGAACCAGAAATGTCCATCATGCCCTGGCACATCAAGTCTCCAGATGTCAACTTCCCAGTGAGGGGTCATGTGGCTTCCTGAGTTCTGAAATCCCAGAATTCAACATCAGACAGACAGATGTCAAGACTGTTCCATTCTTTACCCACAAGTGCTGACTGCATGCCATCCAGGTCCCCTGGGGACACCACAGAGGAGGGGATAGCACTTGTCTGCCTGCCTGGGGGTTCCCTTTTGTGCCCTGGTCCTCTCTGTGATGCTTTCAATACCATATCCAAGGTGTTCCCAGTGACCACCACCGAGAGCTCGGTGGGTCAGTGAGCTCTCAGTCTAGGAAATGCCTGGGACACTGTGAAGCAATCTGCCTCCAGTTCCACAGTGAGTAATGGTGGTGGGTCTCAGCTTGCAGCTTGGAAGCTGAGTTAGTCTCCAGGGCACTGAGAGAGGTCTGACCCAGAGGGTGACAGGGCTAACCATACTGGGGTGCTCTCTCTGTTTAACCAAACCTGCCTGAGCACAGGGGTCTTTACAGTGTTTGTGACATTTGTGCCCCTCTCTGGGCACTGAGGCCACAGACTTCTTTCCAGATGCCCCCTGCATCCCTGGGCAGTGTCTCCCAGCAAATAAGGCTATTTTCTTCTGGTCTGAAATCTCCACCTGCATAGATCAAATGTGGGGTCCAGGCTATCTCTACTGAGACCTTCTCGTTAGGGGCAGAATTACTCAAGCCCAACCCTTAGGGACTAGTCTCCTTGATCTTAGGATTTATGAGGAAACAGGAGGTGTTTAATATTCCCCTTGCTTGCAGGTTAAATCTAGAACACTGCAGAAATCTGGAAAATAGCTTGGCTGCCAGGGACGGTGGGGGAAATACACATGAGAAGCTGTGGGGATGCATCTGGGATTTGGGACGTTGTAGGATTAGGGACCAGTTCAGTGTCTGAAATGCTAAGTGAACTTGGGCAAGCAGGTAGACCTCTCTGAGCTCCATTTCCCCCTCAATCATTTTCTGCAGGAAAAGCAGGGTGTTCCCATGCACTTTCTCTCAGGGCTCTCTGGTTCCACATCACGGCCCTAAATACACTCACTTCATGTAAGTAGGCAGGAGCAACTAGGGGGTGAATGACATGCAGCGTGACACAGGAGGGCACCCCAAATCCAGCCAGCCTTGCCAATAATTAGCTATGTGACCTTGAGCAAGCCTCTCACCTTCTGTAAAGGGAAGGTTATCCCAAAGCAAATGGAACCTCAGACGTACTTCCTGCCCTTGCTCTCAGTGTGCCTGCTAAGGCTTGCCTGCAAATCTTATTGTGTACTTGCTATATTTTGATCTTAAAGAAGGTCCCCAGATTGTATACATCTGAGCCCCACAGACTTGTATCTGCCCTGGCTTCTGGACCTGTCTTCCCTTTGCAAGGTGAAGAACTACAAGGTTTCTCACAGCGTGGAAAGGTTGTGAGTCCATGATTCCATTGCAGGTCTTTGAGCATCTGGATGCATAGAAGTGACCCAGAAAGAGAACAGGAAGGACTAGAACCCTGGCTAGAAAGCCCTGGGTAAGGAGAGATAAGGGGGAAGGATACATAATCAGGGACAGGCGTGCTTCTAAGGAACTGGGTAGGTAGTATGTAGGTCGCTCATAGTGGAGGTGGGACTCACTGTGGAGATTGAAAGCACTGGGAAGGGCTCCAGTTTATCTAAGTGGCCCTCTCTTGTTCCACGCTTCATGGTTCCCTGAGATGCCACCTATTTCGTCCTGAAGCTGTGCTTGCTGACATAGCCTCTGTGTAGGCTTCAAGGCAGTGGGGCCTTTGCTGGCGCAAATGCAGTTCTCAGGACTGGCGCAGGGAATGAAAGGCCAAGACCTTCTAGAGGAACTCTCAGGGAAGAGGACAGACGTAGCACCCTGCAAAATCATCTGCTCGCAAACAGGGCTCAGGACCCCCTGGCTGGCCCAGCATCCCGTTACCCTGTCTAGGCAGATTACCCTGTAATATGTCTACAACTAGGGCCAGGCACTTGGTGGCCTCACAGCCAGCATGCTGCTTGGGTCAGGGTGAAGCGACTAAGGTGGATGAGGAGGGTAAGGGAAGCAGGGAACTGAGTAGATTAGTGGGTGCTGGGGACCTGCAGAGCTGGGCTAACTGGCTCTAGAAGAGCGGTGGGGGTGGCAGCGGGCGACTCACGGAGGTGTTCTGGCACTGCACGCTGGAACTGTTGAAGCGCAGGGCAGGGACCCGCTGCTCACTGCCCTGGATGTTCAGGATGCACTCGTAGCCACGCTGGCCTGACTGTGGCTGTGGGAGGTTCTTGGCCTTCAGTGTGATGGGCTTGATCACCTCCACAGGCACCAGGATCTTGTCCACTCGCAGCAGCTGGGGGCAGTCCTGGGGACAGAAGTCAAGGCTCAGGTTGAGCAGGTGGGAAGCCACAGGGCAGGCTACAGACATTCCTCAGATGTTGCCCTGCTGCACAGACACAGCCCCGCATGGCCATGTGGTATCCACCCTGGCACGGAAGGGAGAGAATGAGGCCTGAGAAATCTCAGATCCTTGTGTCACCTTCTTGAGGCTGCTCCTCATAGAGCCTGCTCCTGGCCTCTTCAGCTTCATTTTAATGCCTCCTCTGTGCTCCAGATGCTCAAACACTCTCCTGTGGTTCCCTCCCACTACCAGTCCTCCCGTGCAGAGACTGACCCTGCTGCCTGGGCATACTGCCCCGTGGGGACTGATGGCCTCTTTGTCTGCCAAATTCCAGATGGCTGGAGTCGAGACAGATGGGCCACTTGAGAAGATTCACAGGGAGGCAAAGCCTGGGTGTGTCTTGGCCTCTGGAGCGAGAGTCTGAGCCACAGCTGGAGGGTCCATGAGGGCCTCCTGTACATGGGCTGAGCCTGGCATTTGGGAATGCTCTGGAAGAGGCTCCAGCGATCTTTTTAATCCAGAAGCTTCTGGCTGAGCTCTGAGGATGGCCTAACCCCAAGAAAATACCCTTTGGAGCAGAAATATACTAGGCTGCTCCTAGATGCCAGCAATGGGCACACTTAGCTCTGGAGCTGTGTGAGACCCGGAGAGTGTTTGGGTTTGGAGGAAATGAATCATGGGACTATTTTTTTCCTGCGAGAGTTAGCTCTGTGCGGGAAGGGCTGGGAAAGAATGGAGTCAGAGGAAAGAGGGCAGTGACAGGTGGGAGCTGGCATGTTGGTAGTGGGGAGAGAGTCAGTGTCCCTGGCCTGCTGGGTGTGGGCAGGAGTGGGGCTTCTGTGACATATGCAGGGATCCTTCCTCTGTGGCACTGTCTGGGGCATGTCAAAACAGATGGGCGACCATCAGAAGCATGGCAGACTTTGTTAGGGCTCACTGCTGACCCTCAGAAGACACTGTTCACTCCTACTGCAGCACTGGTCCTCAGTAAAGCAACACAGAAAGGAAACCATGGCCAGATGCAGATCGGAGGAGTACCAGGCGATCAGGCCATTGGCAGCTGTTCCTGCTGGGTCCCAAGAGCTGCTGTGTCACAGAGAGCTGCTTTGTGACAAGACTGCATTTGGAGAGGAAGGCCAAATTTCTGACAGGCTGTAGAGCCCTGAGCATACCCCCACTCTGAGACTCAGCTTCCCCAGCTGTCAGTCAGGCGAGACTCCAAGGCCCTGTCCATTCCAACCAGTCATGATTCACAACCTGAGGTGGTCATCTCTCTGCCCTTCCTAGTCACCCAAAAAGAACAGAAGAGGACAAGAGAGGCAGGAGACATGGAAGCAGAACAGGGAGAGCAGTAGGAAGCTGTGAAGGAAGCTAGGAGAAAGGGAAGAAGCCAGAGAGGAGAGACCACTGGGCACAGATGAACCAGTAATGGGCCTTGCTTGGGAGGCACTCTGGCCCCATCAAACCAGCCCCGCCCCTCTTCTCCTCCAGGGTGAAAGAGAAGGGTCAGCTCTAGCAATTTCACTACTCAGATTGTCCCCCAACGAACTGAAAGCCGGAATTTGAACACATACTGAATACCGTATTCCCAATAGTGTGTATACAATAGCTTTGCCAAGATGGAAGCCACCCAAGTGTTCATGGATAGACAAACGAATAGTCAAAAGGAGTTCTATCCATACACTGGCCTTTAAAAGGAAAGAGATTCTGATACATGAGGAGATTATCCTAAGTACAGTAAGCCAGTCACAAAAAGGCATACATCAAACTGTGTGGTTCTGTGAAATGAGACACCTGGAACAGTCAGGCTCAGACAGAAAGGAGACTGGTGATGTTTAAAGGGAGGGGAATTGTTAAGTTGGTGATGGACAAAGTTTTAGGTGAGGGTGCTGGGGATGGTTGTACAACAATAAGAATGTACTTAGTAAGTACATTCAGTCATTCAGTACTTATTAAGCACAGTACTATACCTTAAAGCTGTTAAAATGGTAAATTTTTATCATATATGTATTCTGGCACAGTTAAAAATACAATAGAAACCAAAATGGAACAGCAGGGAGACAGCAAGGGGAGCAGAGGCCAAGACCTACACACACACACATGCCTGCACATGCTTGCATGGGTGTGCACACACACACAGCAACAGCAACAGCAACAGCAGCAGCAGTAGCAGCAGTAGCAGGATTGGCCTTGACCTTGCATGTGTCCCTAAGGCTCTAGGACAAGCAGGTTCTGGAGAGCTCGAGGTACTGGCATGGTGCGTCTTAGTGGCTCCATCCTGAGCCCTAAGCTCTGGCAAGATGGAAATGTGGGACATGTAGATGAGAGAGGAATTATGTGAAAAGGGTGAAATTCTGGGATGCAGTGGGAGGTGTGTGATGCTGGAGAATTAGGGACAGCAGATCTGTGAGAGGAGGAGTGTTGTCAGCCAAAGGGCCCAGGCTCGTCATCCTGACCCATCCCTCCCTCACTACAGCTCTTGGAAGCCTTTCCTCGGGGCAGCAGGTCTATGATGGCAGGTGAAGCCAGAAGCACTGCTACTCTGACCTTCACCTACATGAACATGTCACCATCCATGATCACGTGTTGAAAGGACCTGAAGTCTGAGAGTTCTCTAACCAACCTAACAGATGTCTTCTGCTTTGCAGTGGCTCGGTGGCCCAGTGTCCACGGATGAGTTGGCAGCAGCACAACTCAGATGCCAATATCTTTCCTCCCCTCCATGACAGAGCAAGTTCCTACCAGTGGGCAGATCTGCTTCAGGACAGGGTGGTTGTTCAGTAGGGATCTCTTTGAGTCCAGAGCTGTGAAACCCTCCTCATCTGGGCTGGAACCTTGCCTGGAAGCTAGACTCTTCCTATTCGGGTTCAGGGCAAGAGCAGAAGCCTAATCTCAGTTGTTCCCTGTTTGATTCTGAGGCTTGTGAGGAGTTCTCTGATGAGTCCTGATTAGCAGTGGCCCCATAAAGGACTAGTTTGCATATAAAAAGGTTGGCGGCTCTGAGAGTTAAGTTCATTAATAATAATTGGAGAGGCCCAAGGCTGGGCTGGGAACATTTTCCTCTACTAGCACTGCTGACTGACCTCAGTGCCCCTCCTAATTGAAATGTAAAATGGCAATTTTCCCCTAGGCAACAAGGCGTGAAGGGACCATTTCCACCACTCTGCCCCTTCCTCCAGCCCCATCATCCCAGATTCTGACCTGCCTCCTCCTGAGAGCCCAAATGTAAAACCACCTACAGATCTGAAACTCATGGGAAATTTCAGAGAAACATTCACACTTCTCCAGGATTCCTGCCTGAGGGCCTGTTTCATGGTTAGGGACTTGGGACCTCCAGATCTGGATCCTTAACATTTGAGGTTTCTAAACTATAGAGGCACTGTCTTGTGAATTATGCAACTATGAAAGTAAGTCTATCCTATCTCATTGTGATGGTTTGAATCTGGAATGTGCCCCAAGGGCTCATGCATTGTTGAAGGCTTGGTCCCCATGTGACAATGTTCATATGTGGGGCTTTAAGGAAGTCATTGGAGCATGAGGGCTCAGGCCTCATTAATGGATTAATCCATTGATAGATTCATAATTTGATGAGTTAATTGGAAGATGGTGGAAATATTAGAAGGTGGGATCTACTTGGGGAAGCAGGCCACTGGGGATGTGTCCTGGAAAGATATCTATACCTCCTCTTCCTTGCTTCCTGGCTGTTGTGGAATGTGGCTTTCCTCGGCCACAACCTTCTCTCCTCAGGCCTAAAAGCAATGGATCCAGCAGACTATAGATTGAAGTTCCCAAAACAGGAAGCCAAAAAACTTTTCCTCTTTTAAACTGTTATTCTCAGGTACTTTGTCACAGCAATGGAAAGCTGACTGGCCTATTCCTGCTAGATTCAGAATCTTGAGAAGTGTTCTTAATTATTGTAACTGTAAGCAGAGATTAAAATCCCTGCTCCAAAGGTTCATTAGGGGGAATTTTATGAATGAACACACACAAGTGCGTGGCACTCAATGAACAAGGATTCAATAAATATTTGTTCTCTCCTTATCCATCATCCAGCTTAGGCTGTATTTTTGTCCCTCATTTGCTGTCTCTTCCTACCTCATGTCCAAAGGACCCATCTTCTCTGATCCTGTCCCTATGCTTTTCCATAATGACCCCATCAGTTCCCATCGCCAAGTTATTCCAGCTTTCTAGGATTTATATCTTATATGGAGACTGATTAATTTCAGCCCCTCCCAGTGCCCAAACACAAGGAGGGCAGGGAGGGAGTTCCCAGCTCTGTCCACTGCTCTCCTAATTACAGTCCCCTATTCTTCAAGGTGACATCCTAAAGCTGCATGCTCCATGTGCTCTGAAACAGGAGACCTACAAGCAGCCACCCACATTGCCTTAGGCATGTCCCTCAAAATCTGTGGATCTCTTCACTCATAAAGTGAAGAAGTTGGCTTGGATTCAATGACTTTTATGCTCTAGGGATAGTGTGACACAATAAGGAATATATATTTGGTTTTTGTCCCTGGATCCTGGGACAGAAATCCTAAAACCTTTGGAATTTTGAGTGGTTGAAGGGAGAGGAGCATTTTTGTTGTTGTTGTTGTTGTTTAGTATAAGCTTATTTCAACCACATTTGAGTTTATGTTGATAAGGTGCCTCTTGGCAGATGGGCCTGGTTGCCAGAGAAACCAACTATGTGATTAGAAGTTTGGAATTTTCAGTGCCCCCTTTTAGCCTCTAGGGAAGAGAAAGGGGCTGGAGTTTGAAATCAATGTATAATAATTTAATCATGGTTATGATAGGAACCTCCATAGAAACCTAAATGAAGGGGTTTAGGAAGTTTCCTTTTTGGTGAATAGGAAGGGGTTTGCATTAAGTAAGTAAGTAAGCAAGTAGGCTGTGCCCTTTCCTGCATACTTTGCTCTGTGTACTGTTTCATCAGTACCCTCTGTAATATCATTTATGGTATACTG